TCAGGGGATTTCAGAGGTTTTCGAAGGGTGTTTAGTGGTTTATGATTGGAGTTCAAAGGTTTTGTAAGGGTTCAGAAGTTTTTGAAGGGTGTTTAGTGGTTTGTGGTTGGTGTTCAGAACTTTTGTAGGGAGTTCAGAGATTTTTGTAGAGTGTTCAGTGGTTTGTGGTTGGGGTTCAAAAGTTTTGTAGGGGTTCATAGGTTTTTGAAAGGTGTTCAGTGGTTTGTGATTGGGGTTCAAAAGTTTTTGTAGGGGGGTCAGAGGTTTCTGAAGGGTGTTCAATGTTTTATGGTTGGGGTTCAAAAGTTTTTGCAAATGGTTCAGAGGTTTTTGTAGGGTGTTCAGTGGTTTGTGGTTGTGGTTGTGGTTCAGAATTTTTTGAGGGGGTTGAGAGGTTTTTGTAGGGTGTTCTGTAGTTTATGGTTTGGGTTGAGAGGTTTTTGTAGGGGTTCAGAATTTTTTGAATGGTGTTCAATGGTTTGTGGTTGGGGTTCAAAAGTTTTGTAGGGGGTTCAGAGGTTTTTGTAGGGTGTTCAGTGGTTTGTAATTGGGGTTAAGAAGTTTTAACAGTTGGTTTTTTCTTAGATACATCATCGAATTTCTTCTTTTTTTGGTGTTCTAATGTTGAACATTTGACTAATTGTACAATTCAAAAACAAATTGCGAACTTAAACAATAAATTACTTACACATCTTTATCCTCTTCAGTAGGAGCAAATAATTTTGATTTTCAACAAAAAAAAAAATTAAAAAAAAATTAATTTAAAAAAGTCAAAAAGACAATTATATAGTAGAATATAGTTTCAATTTTACAATTTGTTGAATTATATTAGCAAATTTATTTAACATAAATGTAGGAAAATCAAAAAAGTTAAGTATTGTTTATTTTTTTAAAGGTGTTTTCGTGTGTTTTTTTGTCTTTTGTCATGGTAGATTGCAGTTTTTAGAGAGGGAAAAATGGTGAGAGTAGAGAGAAAATATAAAAGAATTCATTGAGGAAGGTTTTTAATTTATGAGAGGAGTGAGAGAATTTTTAAAATGAAATAAAAATAGATATGACATTTAATTTTTTTTGAAGTTAAATAGATTTGACAGTTGGAGAGAGGAGGAACTATTATAAAAAAAATAATAAGAAATAAATAAAAAAAAAACTTCATGAGCTTCTTTCGTTTGGACTTCTTGTGTTGGGTGTGGATTGGGCCAAGTGCACCTATTTCTAGGTGCACCATGGTGACATAATACTAATTGAGGTTTATCAATTCAAAGAATTAATAATTTAAGGCACAAAGTATCTTAGAATTGGACTATTGCTACACTTAACAGTTAACACTCCACAATCGATAGTTTTTGTAGTTTTAAGTCGTGTTCGATAATAGCTTTTGAAGTACTACTTATATATTGTGGCTTTTAAAGTTTAACATATTTAACTTTATATGTAATAGTGAAAGAGCCAAAGAGGTGATAGATGAAGTTTTGTTATGGTGATGTGGTTAATTGGTTACTAGTGATTTAGAAAGTGGAGTTTTGGAAAAGGAGTAGAAATTTTGAGTTTGGGGTAAAGTAGATTTAAAAACTAATTGCTTACAAGAGGTAGGATGTCCGTTTGTAATTTGTTTATTCGCTATTCTAAGTCGTAGTTTTAATCGATTGTTCGATATGTGATTTTACATATAACAGTTAACATCTATTACAACAGCTACTTTTGTCGAAAAGTCTTTGACTAAACAAAAGTACACAACTATTCCAAGTTTCTTGCTCAGCTACTCTTTATAAGTAGAATATATAATTGCTTTACTAAAACTATACACAAGTCATTATAATTGTTCATCATCAAAGGCTTAATTATCAATGAAGAGGGTTTGTTTTAACAAAAAACTTTCACTTCGTGTTCATTCAACGATAATAATATATAAGATACACATGTCTTATACTTATGATAAATTGATGACTCCCTAAACCACATCTTTTTTCACAAATTAGTGGAGGGTTGGAATAGAGGAGAAACCATATTTTTCAAGTCAAAGTGGAAGAGTAATTTTAGACTACCTCAAGCTTATTTGGATTCTGCAAATCACTTGTTTGCCATTTTACAAGTTCTCTCTCTCGATTTGGGAAGAGTAATTTTTCATATAATAAAATTAACACTTCATACTATTACAATCTGAAGTGATATTATATCGGACTAATTCAACAACCTTCACAATAATAGCGTTATAGTTTAATTACCACCGTTCCGTTAATATTAACCTTTTTATAGTTCGTGACCCTGGTTAGAGTCATCACCGTTATGGATAACCTTCAACCTAAGAGATTAATCAATCATGTACATCAACCCTACAGCAACAACAACATAGCCCTACACCCCCACATAATTATGAACAACAACGGCTACTTTACTACTGAAGGAATAGTGCCTAATTTTAAAAAGTCAATTATTTCAAATTAAAGCAACGTCTAGCTAAATGTTATTTAATTATTATGAAGTTCCAAAAAGGAGTTTTAATACAACACGCTGCCATTATTGGTAGATAGGTGACTTAAGTCATCATTCTTGTATCTTAGTACTACGTACTAGTATTTATTTTTTAATCAATAATTCAATATCTTAATCCAATCTAATCCTAAAAGCAAGAATTATAACGGAACAATGGATGGAGCTAGTTACAACCAATTCCACCAAAATTTAACCTAACCCCGTCATCCAAATGAAAGATGAAAAAGGTTAACGAATTTCAACAACCGGTCTTCTTGGTGACAGTTAAATCACCAATTTTTAAAATTAAACTAAATTAGTCACATTAAGTTATAAAAAATAACACAAACTCGGTTTATGAAACAATGAAAATACTAAGCGTGAATATGGTAATTAAATTGGTTCGGTTTATGAAAAATAACAATAAGGATATTATACGAGAACACGCTAATTTTTTGAGTTAGCTCGAGTATATTATTTTAATCATTTTATTACTTCGTTAAACTTGAGAATACTATATAAAAACACGATAATTTAACGTTTGAGTTATAACTACTCGTAGTATCCCATCTTGATTTCCCCGCATCTAACGGGATGTAAATATGGGTACACACAATTTGAATCAAAAATAAACTTCTCTTTGATTTGCGAATTGTCTTGAGAGTCAAAGTCTAACGGCATGTAGCCTTGGACGAATAGTCGACATAATCCACACAGTCATTATAATACTTGCCTAAGAAAGCAGAATTTGAGGACTTTAATCAACCAATTTATTGGAAAAGTCAAAAGTAGTAGACAAAATTTTATTAATAATAATATGAATTATTTTTAAAGCAAAGTTTACACTATATAAGCTCTCTTTTCCTACAAACCAAACATCCACTAATTGTTTCCTAGCAACTTACAAAACATACCCAAAAACATAAAGTATGGGAAAGTCTAAAATTCTGATTCTGTTATCTGCTCTTCTTGTGTTGTTCTTGCTGATAAGCAGCAGTTCTGCAACACCTCATCCACGGGCTCATAGAGTACGACACCATGTTCGGAAGTTCCACCATCACCACGAATGGCACAAGAAGTCACGGGTGAACCATGGGAGCTCTCGAGGACACAGGAAGCACCTTGTGGTTCCATCATCAGTCGTTATAGTCGAAAACCCTCTGAAGATCCTGAGGTCGTCAATTTAGCTTGCTGCAAACACATGAATATACTGTCATCAACTCATCATGGCCTTTTTTTTTCCCTCTCCTTTAGCTTCTTTTTTCTTCTTGTGATTTGTAATTATATACACTTGTAAAGTTTCCGGCAGTTTTTGTGCTCGAATCAAAATCTGCTTCGCGATTTCTCTATTATTTATTTGCTGTTTACATCTTCTGTTAAACTTTTTGGCAGCAGTCTTTTATTCAACATCAGTTGTCAAACTAGAATGATATATTAAGAACTTGAATAAACAACAGGAAAAGTAAAATTATGCAGCACAAAGTAGCTGACTTAACTGCTTGTAAATCCAACATTACAATTCAAACCTTCTAGTATCCATTGACCTATACAATCTATATACTACGGAGTAAAAAACACGATTCAGTCACAGGCATTTCCTCAATTACACTTCATATATGTAATAGGAGACGCGATTCACTCAGGAGTTTTTTCAGTTACATCCTTCCTCGATCCTAGAGGAGCTGAGGTTGGATTCATCTTTTTCCTACCCAATAATCCCTAAAAACATGCATCCAGTTTCAGGGATCAACTTAAAAGCCGTCGAACATGGATGCAGGATATCGGGTTTTATGTCAACTTTTTAGGCACAAGCAACATTAGGGTCCAACTATGATCTTCCGTATTAAAACCTTGGCAATACTGATAAAGACAAGCTAGGTAATCAGGTGGGTTTATTTGGCTTACTTATGTCGACTGATAAAAGACAAGGAAGATTATAGAATCAAACTGTAAATATCCTAGAATATCAACTTGGGCCATAATTTGGCTTAAGAGCGCCATCTTACAAAAGACCATCCCAAACTCAAGTCTTACAAAAATATCATCAACAGCACCACTCCAGCATCCAAAGATGTTTTCGGTGTATGACGGAGCAGGGTGAAGTTAACAGCCAAATGACCCTTGGATCAAATGCTTCAAATCAAGGATCGACTACTATTTCACTTGATATATATATATATATATATATATATATATATATATATATATATATATATATATATATATATATATATAACATAGGCTCAAGTTATGCAGCGTAAGTGTAACAATGTTATTCTGATCTATCAATCCACTGAAAGATAGAAAGTGAATCGAAAGACTCCTATGTAACACCCTGTCTTTTCAAGCCCTCTTGAATAACAGCCTTCAAGAAAGACTATGGTTTCAACTCTTACTAATAACCAAAACACCAAAGTACTAAACTCCATCCCTTCCTTTCTCTTTTCTTCTTTTTTCCTTTCTTTCTAGACACAGTAACATAACTAAACAAAGTCCTCGAAAAATTGAAGATGCATAACATTTGCTCGTACAATAATAAATTTTCACAGATATATTATTAAAAATGAGCTCCACATTCCAATACAGTAGTAGATACAAATTAAGCATTGATGCCAGCTTCATTGAGGACTTGTACGTTTTGTTTGACAAATCGACAACAAAATTACATGCATCACAGGGAACCAGCTCCTTCACATTCAAATGATGTGAATTCACAGTGGTCGTTTCAGTATTGATTTTCAAAATATTATAAGAGCCACAAGTGAATTCCAGTAGATGTAACATCATATATATACCTATAAGATCCCAGAGGCCTTGCATTCTTCTAGCAAATTAACAAGGTTATGTTCAGGTGCACTTATTGATGGTAGCATCATGCGATTTTGACGAGCAGGCCGCGAATTTGAACCAGCAGCTGCTTCGGAATCACCCGCTGACCCTTCTGCCCTGAGCGGCAAGTCAGATCTTCTCCGCACATGTGCAGCAGAAACTCGCTCCTTCCATATTCTTCCATCCTATTTATTCACCATAAGATAATCCATTAATGGGATATCATACAAACTTGAGCTACAAATATGGGTGTATTACAGCAGCAGATACAATACTTGTCACACAGGCTTGTTGTTTCACCTCAAGTCAACTTGATCATGGTCGTGGGGATTAGACACTTCCTGGAACATTCCAAAACTTACACAAAATTCTTTTTTTGACACCTATCAGTAACCCATGGTAGAGTCCAACACTTTGTACAGAGTCTATGAACCACAGGTCATTCGAAGCTACAGCCTAGTTTCTTTTGGGTGATAAAAATATACTCCGTAAACAATAAGTTCTACTTACTAGCAAAGAAGATACTGAAATTTTCACTGTAATTACAAATTAGTGTGCCCTATTTTTCAGGTTATGTCTAGCAGAACAGGAAAAAAAAAAAAAAAAAAAAGAGCTACTCCCAGTAATGAAAATGACCACCAAAACGACCAGAAGTGGTCTACCAACTTTAATAAAATCCTGTCTCAATGATTCTACTTTCACCAGGTGTGGACTATGGACCACTTGCTTAAATAAAAAGCCAACCATAGCACATGTACCACATATAATTATACTGTGTTATCTTTAATTCAATAAATTCCATCCAATTCAAGTTACACATATGACACATTAAATGAGGAGTTTCTTTGTTCACAAAATTTTGAAGGTGTTCGTGGAATCAAAGGGAGAATACAGATTACAGAAAAAATATCACCAATTAGTGGCATACTCGTGAGGTCATTAAGTCACTAATGATGACAATTCATATTATATGTGAGAATCGGTTCTTCTAAGCTCTAACATTAAACGCTACTTCACAGCCTATGGCACTAATATAATAGGGGATGGAAGTGACAAGCAACTAAGAAAAGTACATATTGCTTCTAGCTATACTAGGTTCATGAAGCCATCATTTTAAAAAGTAGATACAACATCAGAAAGATTAAAAAATTGAGATACAATGCCGATTTTATTAATAAACAAAGATAAGTACAGCAGAATGGTACAACAATTCCAGCTAATGAGCAACAGATTATGGGCTTCTTTCTGAGGATATAATAATCAATAATGGACATCCACCTCATTACCATTCTTGGTCAACTAAAAATATGTAAAATTAGCACTTGCTGCACGCTTAATGCAACAGAAAAGTTGGTTGGTTAATTAATGTGCAACAACAATAATAAGAAAATACACACTAAGAATATATCTGATTAAAGAAATAGAATGATTTTTATGCAGTCTTGATGAAGAGCAATATGCTTTCATCCTTTACCTCAACTGTTCAGCAGTTGATGCTATTCCCATAGCGGGCTTTTGAATCTTGACAATGATTAAAATATAAAACCAACCCTCTACATAAGAAAAACTATGTTCACGAATTTGATCCCTCACAACTAATTATGACTGAGCAGCTGTTATCTGTGATTTCATCACCGATAGCTCATTATAAGAAATTTACTGAATTATTATATGGAGAAATGATGTGATGCTCACACAGCTTGTTAAAGTTAAGGAGAATAAGTAGGGAACCTTAGAGTAGAGTTGGCAGATCTATTTTTTCTAGCAAGTGAATACAATTAACATAATAGCTTAACTTCAGATTGAAGACAATGCCCAATTAACAGTAGCAGTTTAGTTCAACCAAAAGTTACTAAGAAAATGCAGGCATGTAGGTTGATACTGTTAGAATAAGAGTCACACTGCCACCATAAAGAAGGCATACGTTTCTAAGCTCGAGCAACAATTTTTAGGATAACAACCACAGGAATAAAGTATATTAACACCTGGTAAGCTAGTACCAAAGGTGATAGGACTTAAAATGGTCAATATTCACTGAGAAAATCTACTACACTGAACTGTCTTTGATTTCTAAGGTACTAACATGGACATTTCAACATTCAGTTTGCGATAGAAACACTCAATATACAGCCATTGGTTTTTCGATATATTGCTTGCACCTACATACTACATAGGCTTTCATCCAACGGAAGAGGTTATTTTTCAGGTGATCATCCACATTCCCCTGTTTAAGAGTAGTAATCTAGCTACTCAAGATGCAAACTACCGCTAATAGTACACCCTATTTTGTTATATTAATGACCTAGGTGCATTTTATTGTAGTGAAACCCAAACTATATATCTGAAAGAAGTTAATTTCAACATGCTTGCTTGGAAGTTGAGACTTAAAGGGCCTCCCTGCCATATATTTCAAAGGCAGAGACCAGAGAGAACATCCCTCCCTGGTACCAAAGCAGCTAATAGTATCTTACCAATTGTAATTTCTTATTGGACACATGAGTGACAATCAAAAGGACTATCCTACAAATCCAATAATCTAGTTCAGAAGCCAATTAAGACAAGGGATATTGTAAGACTACAAGCAAAGAAGTATGAAACTATGGGGATCATCAAATATGAGTAAAAACTTACATTTAGAATAGAAGGTTCTGGCAATGGGCACTGGACGGGTTTATCATTGTCAAGAGGCTCAACCGGATGTTCAACAGGTTTAAATTCTACACCTACATCTATACCATGAGCAACTGGCTGTGCAACCTCGGCCACTGTGTCCTCTGGAATTGGGGCTGAGACCTCCCTTGCATCCTGTGTCCATTCACATAAGAAAACCGCGAAAATAAAATCAAAATCAGCAACCAGCAGGCATCAAATTTACAACAATTAACAACAAGCAGCATGAACTTGAAGAGCAATACCAATAACAATGAAGCACACCAATCCTTGGCAAAAACACACCAAAAGCAGGTTCTAGCCATGATTAAAGACAACCCAATAAAGATTTTCGACACAATTTCGAATACTATATGACTCAATGATCTAAAAAGACAACAAGATACATGACTAAACCTGGTAATATTTCTCCAGAAAACTCAATAGCACAAAAACCAAGCTAACAGACCAATTATGTCGACAATGAACCTTATAAAAACCCAGATAAAAAGGATGAATTATTGCCCAAAATCAAAAAATCTCAACTACCCAATTCACACCTAGATCTAAGGAAGCCAATAAGAAAGTCAGATCAAAAAGGAAACATACAAAATCTGACCAAATCAACCATAATAAGAAAATCCCACAAAATCGACTTAAAATAGTCAAACAAAACAGTAAAACAAAGAACAAAATCATATAAACACAACAGTAAAATAGACAGTTCACCTATTCAAATCGTATTAGGTTACTTACCACACAAAGTATTCATACAAAATTACAAAAAAAGTTCTTAATTTTAGAAAATCATGCAACCCCAGAAAAGTAATTATACTCACAATTGCGCTTTGAGTTCTTCTGTGCCCAGATTTGCTGCTAGAAAACTTAGAGAAAATACCCACCATTCTTAAAGTTTCTTGCTTTGAATTGAAGTTAATAACTCACATTAAAAAGTAGAAAGAAATCCCTGAAAAACAAATTAATGGTTGAGAAGAGAGAAAATGAAGGAAGAAGATGAAGTGAAAAGTAGGGGAGAGGTTGCTTAAAGAAGAAAACTTTGGAGTGTTGTTGCTGTTGATTCTTCATTGTAGTAAGTTTGTATAGTATTTGTAGTTATTATTCTTGTTTTTTGAGTAAATTAATTTCAAAATTGTGGGAATTGCTTGCGAGTTGAAAAGCTGCGAATAAAAATCAAAGGGCGGCGATAAGATTTTGGGTTACTTTTGGTTAATTAAGTGAAAGTTGGTGCTTTGATGAGTTTAAAAATTAATTAAAACTACCAACTATGCTAATCACCCCTATAAATAGTTTAAAGAATTAAAGTAAATGTTACTCGTATGACTTAAGAGTACTTTGATGAAATGCATGTACGGCCACAATGTCACATCTAATCTAATCTAATCTAATCTAAATTTATTAACTTTTCATGTTTGTGATAATTAAGGTAATTTTAAAAAAGTTTAAGATGTTTCTAGCATTATACGAAGTACTATTCAATCACTACCTGTGTGTAATATTATATATTTTACAATGGAAGAAAAAACTAAATAAATATTAGTAAAACCCTCCTCACGAGGCGAATTCCTAATGCGTCGAAATAAATGATGGGAAATAAATAAAAATTATTACAAGGAACAATACTCATACTATCACTAACTAAATTACCAACATTTGCTATCCAATCAGCTGCTTGATTTACCCCCCCCCCCCCCGAAAGATATGACAAATACTCTAGTTATCGAACTTGCCAAGACGATAACAAATGTTTTTTAACAATATAATCAATTTGCCATGGTGTTGACCATATACCTTTAACGGGGTTGATCACTAAAAGATTATCACCTTCAATTATAATATTTTTGAACCCACGCTCAAGAGCTAGAAGAATGCCTTTATGAAGAGCCATGACCTCTGTTATGAAAACCTTGGTGGTGCCAACTGCCAAGGTTGAAAGCGCGAGCTTCTAAACTTGTCATGTTGTTGTCTATGATGAGGATACCTGTGCTGCTGACTTGTTGAGGACTGAATCGTCGAAATTGAGTTTGTAAAAATTTGTTGGTTGCGCCTCCTAGGTAACCATGATAGTGTTTGTTGGAGAATGAGAAGGAAGAGTAGATGAGGATCTCCAAAAAGGGAATCTCGATGAAGAAAAGGTATCAGTGAGAGTTCTTCAATGCCACTCATTGAACTCACTAAGTACATATGTTGTTTGATTTATGCGAAACATTAATACTACGTTACAAAATGTAAGACGGAGTAGTATATTACCTTGATAAATAAGTGTGAATCAAATGAAACACATATATACATGGTTCAGTAGATATGAAACTACTTCTCTAGAACAAAAGGTAGATTTTCTTATTGGCTTTTGCAGAGAATAAATAATAAAGAGAGATAATTCATACAATGAATGAGATACTACTGTTTACCTCTGACACATGTCAAAAGTGATCGATTACCTCTTGGTTTGCTTGAGCTTGGTGGCTAGTAAGGTTGTCCCAATTATTATACATGCCTCTTATTTTTGAAATGGATGAGAAAATAAAGACTTATCGAGCTTGAACGGGTTTCTTAATACTAAAATCGTGTTTTTTTTTGTTTGTCTAAACCACCCAATTTCCAGACAAATCGGGCCGGACTTAGATCGGACATAGTTGCTCACCTCTAATTAAAATTTTATATTTTGTACGAGTACCACAACTCCCCAAAAAAGAATTCAAAAAATCCAATCCGTTGTTGTTGGCTTCTTACAGTGTGAGTGTCCAAGTACACTATACCCATTTTCTCTCTCCATTCAAACTCCGATGTATGTTCATCAATGGCGTCGGAATTCACCTTAGACGACGACAATTTTGACGACGCTTTCTTCGAAGAAGTCGACAAATTAGAAGTTCTCGCAACTTCTTCTTCAACCCAACAACAACAAAATCAATCTAAACCTTCTTCTTCTTCAACTTCATCCTTTCACTCAACCTTCCCACAAATTCCAGAACCTTCTATTGCTAACACTAATGTTTCTCATTCTCCTCCTCGAGAACTTTCCCAGCGAAACCCTAATGTTTCTCATTCTAGTAGTACCACTCGATCGGTCTGTTCCCCTTTTTCTGAAGAACAATCGGAAATTCAACGATTGAAGGTTTCTTTTTAGGGTTCTTGAATTTTCCCCTTTTTACTAATTTGGTAATTTTAACTTATTTTGGTTTAATTTTTGATTTTCAGACCGAGTTGAGTTGTGCTTCCAAGGAGCTTTTGGATTTGGTATGCCTCTCATCTCATATTTCACTGATTTTTGAAGAATTCTTTTATTTTAGTTTTCTTTGGTATGTGTAAATGAGTACATGTTGTCTATTTGTATGTTGATTTTTGAGGGTTGTTATTGTTGGGTTTTAATCAAGATTCTTACTTTGGTAGTGTGAGTTATGTGTAGTTCAATATAATCGATTGGAATTGATTGAGAAAGGAGAAGGGTAATGATAACCGTTACTTTGACGAATATTCGGTAAGTACAATGCAATGGAATCAAATGATTGAGGGAGGAAAGAGGTTGAGGTGTTGGTGGGTAGAGCATGGTAAAATGTGGGTTGAATCAATTTCCAAATTCGTTTTCGTATCCCTCTAACCAAACAACTAATTAAGGAAATACTTTAGTGATTTCATTTTCAGCTCTTATGAACCTCGTATCAAGCATGTTCTTGATGATTGTATGGACAAGTTTGTGATGATCATTGTATTTGGAAATTTTTAATTAAGCTTTAATATGAAAATTATACAGCGACAAGAATGCTCTGAGCTTAAGAAGCAGAACGCCAGGGAGCAGCAGCTTAATCTTGTACATGTTAATAAGAAGTCCAGGACCAGGTTAGTGGGATTTGTTCATATGTTGAAAGAACTTATCTCTGATATTAGTGGATACTAACTAAATGTTTGCTATAAAATACTTGAATTTTTGCCATAAATAATCCTGGAAATTATATGACTACTGCTTTCTTCTTATATATTATGTAATCGACACTTCTACATTGTGTTTCTTGACTTTTTCTATAGTATTAAATTTGTGCATTATGTAACTTAGCTTGTTTTTTTTAATGGCAGTAAGTCTCAAGACTACAATACGAATGGGATTTCACTTGGAATTGAAAATGCTAATGCTAATCATGCTGCTCCCAAGACAGGTGTAGGTGAGAATGAGATTCACTTATAGACCTCATATAACTAATAATGTCCTGGTATAATCTATTAATTACCAAATATATTAAAAAACTACGTTCTTTTGTCTGTTTTTTTTTTTTTTTTTTAAATCAGAGAAAAAAAGTACAGGTATACAAACAGATAAAAGTGATGAATCTTTAAATCCAAGCACTAGTGGCACTACATCCACGGATGGTGATTTTTCTAGTTTGCTATCAATCTGGTCCCCATTAAGTAGCCATAGATCAAGCAGAAATTTTGTGGCGAAGTTAATCGAGGCGTGTGCTAGTGACTTCTGTGATCTTTTTGCCTGTTTGGGTTCGAATATGACCTCCAAATTGGATAGCAAGTGCTCGACTCATACATCAGTGCCTGGAAAATTTCTGGATCTGGATTCTGCTGAAGTTTCTAGGGTGTCGCAATTATATGCTGAGCTGACAAAGGTATTGGGCAGGCTCATTATTTTCTTATATAATAAAATCGCTGACAATTTATTGCTACCATATGCATGTTTTGTACTTGTTGCTAATGGCTTTGACAAATGTGTATAGAAGACTGGGTTACATGGAAACTGCATCTTTAAATGGTTTGAGTTGGTTATCTCAATTTTTAAGAAGCAATGTGAAAGATGAATATAGAGGCTGACTGGCTGAATAAAGAACATTTTGCTTGATATGATATTAGCTGATGTTTGGTTTAGAAATTGCTCTTTCTGACCAAATAGGGAAATATTTTATTAGAAACATAATCTGAGACAAGAATTAAACTGCTTTCATTTTGCTATCATTATTCTAGCTGGAATAACAATTATAACATGTACAGCTAATGTCAATAACTACCTTCACTCGCTGTTTTGTTACTACTTACTCTATTAGATAAGCTAAGTATAATAGTAATTTCTGCAGGGCGAGGGGCAGGGTGGGGGGGGGGGGAGTAAGAGGGTGTTGGTTGGGTCTTTTGGAATGTGTTATAATCATATAATGAAGTAGAATGCTAGAAACCATTTCTATGTGTATTCCGTCATTGAAGGTCAAACTGTTAAGAGACAACATTGCCATGGAACCTCATACCATTAGTATCTAACTCCATTCTACCCCCCTATAATCTCATCCCCTAAGATTCTAAATCTTCCACCTTAGATACCCAAAGTACAAGTTTAATCTAGTTTAAATTAGATAAATTTAACATGGTTTGGGGTTCCCATTTCCCAATCCATACCATCCATTCCATTCTATAATGTTAAACCAAATGACCCCTAAATGGCTAAGACAGTTACTGTGGAGTGGTGGATACCGTCATTGAAGAAGCTATGGCTATCTAGCCAAGTTGGTGAGTAGAAGCACTAGGTAATTCTCTGGTATGTGTCAGGTGGTAAAAAGGACAAAAAAAGAAGGGTCTGGGGACTGGGGGAGAAGAAGGTGAATACTGAATGTAGTTTTTACATGATCATAATTTGTGTGTTTGTTCGTTTGCTAATAGCTTGGATAGAGGAAAATTCTTTGGATCATATATTTGAGGGTGAAATTTCTGTCATTTTCATTTTATTCATTTGTCACCTTTAAGATTCAAGATTCTTCCAAAATGAAGCAAAGAAGAACTTTTGTATGCTGGAGACCTGGAGTTGTGAAGTTCCTACTTCCATGTTCCATGAATGACTAAAGGGACAGTTCTTCCACATGGTTTCACCTGTGTTGAAGAAATATCAAATTATCAATACCTGTATAATGTATTGTTCAGCATGTTTAAGCCATTAAGGATCTGAAATTTATTCTGTTTCAAGTATCCAGGCTTATTGTATCTTACCTTGAATGTGTTGGCGTATGATTGGTTCCTCTGTATTTAATGATTCTTATTTATGTTGCAGATTGCAGATGATAGGGCTCATATAAATGCTTTTTTGGCGGTACTGCTTGATCTATGTAGTCTTGAAAATGTATGTAAATCCTTATTCTTTCTTTTGGACCTGGGGTTAGGGGAGGGTGTTGTGTTTCTGGATTTTCATTGTTTGTGTTCTTGAAAGCTGCTCTTGTATTCTTACCTTCTCTTTTGAGTGTGATTAAAGGGCTAGCTATTATCATCTATATAACATGGCTTCTGTAGTGATTGTGTGGTTGAATAACACATCTTGTGGTTTTACTGCTGTTGTATTCTTACCCTTCTCTGAACTCTCTTGAGTGATTAGTAAAGGGGTAGCTATTGTCATCTGTATACCATGTCTTCTGTAGTGATTTTGTGGTTAATAAACACATCTTGTGGTTTTACTTCGTGTTGTTGCAGGCTCTAGTTGTTTGTAGGTCTCTGCGTATTCTGCGTATTGCTTTGGATCACATTTTGAGCATTGATAGAACATGTCCTAAAAGGTATTTATTCATCAGTCAGCTTATATAGTGTAGACTTTATTTCTTTTCTATTGGGATTATGTGTGAACGAGCATCATTCACTTCTAAATAATGAAACATGAAGTGTGTAGGTTTGCATAATGTAGACTTGAGAAGGTTTAGCAAATGAGATTTGCATGCCCTTACAGGGTTAATTTGTTTTCTTAAGAGGACATATAACATGTTGTTTTAACTCTACCATTGCTTGCAGCTATCTTTCCCTTCCTTACTCTCCTCTGTTTCCTTCTCTGTCTCTGTTATAGACTAGAAATCTGTCTGGTATACTTTACAATCAAGAGGAAATTTAAAGGGGAAAGCTTGGAAATTTGATTAAACAGACTAATAATTTCTTACAAAAGTTAGTAGGTTTAGTCTACAAAGCTCATATTAGTGACTTGAGGTCACAACACTCCAAATAGTGACTTAAGATCACAACTCTCCTAAGGAATCACTCCAAATTTCTGCCTATCCTCTCTCTCCTCCCCTCTCTATACTTATATTAAAGCTAAATCCTCTAACCTAATAATACTAGACTACAAATATTGCCCTTCCTTAGGTTAAGCTATTACAGTCTCTTTATCTCTTAAGTTTATGCCGCCTTCTGCTTCTCTTCTCGTTTTTCTTTACGGTGTTTTCGTTCTAAATCTGTAGAATTTTGTAGTACACTTTCTTATGAACTTTGATTTGATTTTTCCAGTGTACTCTGCTCAGGGATAATGTCAAGGTGAAGAAATCTTACTCTGGATCAGATGCTGTGCATATTCATGATTCTGAAGTGGATAAAAGTGGTGGATTACATGATATTAGTGGAGATGATACATCCCCTTCGAGATTTATAATAGCTTACAAAAATACATGCATTGCCGAAAGTGAGACTTTGTCCTTTCTTTGTCAAGTAGACTGGCTTCACCTGTTTATGTCTATGCATAAAGTTGCCCTTAAGTTGAAGGAAGAACATGCAAAGGTAGAAGCAGTTTCCATCATGAACATAATTCTAATGAGAACTGATCCTTGTTCTGCTAGAGCAAAGTAAGTAATTATGCAAATTCTTATCAAGCTTATCAATCTATGTTATAATATTCAAAGCACTAAAATTCTGCGGTCAAAATTTTCTGTCTTACTGTTTTATGAATCAGTGTATGCTGGAATTAAGGTCCTTCACAAAATTTAGTAATTTTTATCCTTATATTTGAGCATAAATTATTCAATTGGAATACTGGTTTGTAAAACTCTTTAAATTCTTAGCTGATGCATATATTATTTTTAATAAAACAAGAAGTAGCTAATTAGTATAAGAATGGAAGGAGATTTGTATATAGTAATATTTTTTGCTTTTAAAAAACCTTTTTGCCTCTGGATTTTCTCCTAATTTGTGGAATTCTTCTGTAATTGATGAATCAGGTTTGGGAATTCACCTGTTTTTGAAACTGTTGCTTTACTTTTGAGAGAGGAAGCTGGGTTTTTCTGCCGTAAAGAAGCTGTGCATCTTCTATATCTGCTTTTGAACTGTGAGTTTATAAATCGTAGTTAGTGTAGACCTTCACATTGTCCGTGGTTTGCCTTTCTGTTATATGAGGTTCTTCGAGCCTTTTGAGGTTTTGGGATTGTTGTTAATAACAATCTATTAATAATACAAGTCGACTTGGTTGTAAAGAATTAGATTATTTTGCGTGTGCTTTGCCAATTTTGTCGTCTCTCTTTATTCCTTATAGAAGGATGCTGATTTAGTTGTGTGGTCAATTGATTTTTAGTTGCATTTATTCTTTTGGTATCTAATGCAATATTTGAAATGGATGCTATCATGACAAGCATGTGCTTTTCCTTAAGTTATGTCTGATGGAGAAGTTTAATGTATTTCATTGTATTGTCCATTACTAAATATGATTAGACTGGGTTTTATTTGGTGGAAATATGTTGAAATGCATCTATTAAATGTTCCATAAATTTTTACTAAGTATTTTTAAAAACCTGTTGGCCTTGCTTCTAATTTTTTTCAATTTTTTCTTTGTCTTTGGAAAGGTCCAAGTATATTATCTACCTTTTGTTCGAGGTGTAATGAAGATGACAGTCATACACAATCGCCAAACGATGGTGCAATAAGCTTGACGTGTCATGAATCTCGTGTTGTCCTTGAAGAATTGGCCGAGTGTGTAGTTTGCTCTGATTATGGTGCGAAGGTGGGAATTCTATCTTGTGTGTGTGTGTGTGTCAGTGTGTGTGTGTGTATGTGTGTTTTTATTCTATATTTTGTTTGCTCTGATTTGCTGATTAGATAATTTCTGGGTTGCCTCTGATGAATATGTCAAGCCTGGAAAGAGATGATTTAAAATGTTTTACTTGTTTTACGCTGCAAACATCCTTGAAAAATGTACCGTGTCTTGCAGGATTCACTTCATTCTACTTTGAAAACCATTATTAGTTGGAATCAAGTTTGTTTTGTGTGGTGCCTATTTTTGGGTTTGGTGGAGGCAATTTTTTATTTTTTTACAAAACCATCATCAAATGGAAAATAAACTTCATCCTCAATACCAGAGATGGGTGGTCCAGGGTCATAATCCTAATAACAATTTCTATAATTTTGGTTTTAAATATTTGTGTTGGAACCAACTCTGGAAGGTCCAGGTTTCCTCAAAAAAAAAAACAAAAAAAAAAGGAAAAAAAAAAAAACTCCGGAAGGTCCAGGTTGAGTTCAGCGTTTTTAAGCTCTGCTGTCATAACTGTTCTATCTTTGGACAAACTACTTTTATGAAATCTGGTATTTGGATAATTGAACAAACTACTTGGCCTCATCTGCATATGCTTTTTGGCTCAAAAAACTGAACAATGAACTCAATGACTTGTCATTCTCTGTCATTTGACATGTCTGATATCAGGTCTCCATTTCTGCCACTATTTCAGGAGCTGAACCTACGTAGAAACGCAATAATTGTGCTATCCTTCTTGGCTTCTTCTGGTAAATGTGGATTTAAATGTTTTCTGTTCCACAAGCTTTCCAACAAAGCTAACTTTCTGGTGCTAATCCTGAAAGTACTGATGGGAGAAATCGACGCAGAAGCATTGGAATCTTGCCCTGCATCAGAAGTTTCCAAAGAGAGGTAACAGTAACTAAATAAAAAGAAGATTAAATGTTTTTGATATCTACATATTCATCCTGCTTGCTTGCTAATTGCTCAAAATTATCGACTTTAGTAAGCAAAGTGCTTCTATCTTGATTCCTTTTGCATTTTTTATGTGTGATCTACTGCCATCTTGTACTCTTTCCCACATTGTAAGTTCATTATTATGTAATCATTGCTATCTCTCTCTAATGTTGATTGTGGAAAACGTTAATACGCTTGACATCACAAAACGACATCTGATTTGGAGTCAATTTTGAGGATTTGACGTAAAGTACCAACATTATGAATTATCTTCAGTTGTTTAGGCCAGAAGCAAGATCCTTTTTTGGTTCTCAATAAGCCCATCTTAATTTTGGGAACAATGTTATTTTTTTTTTGAAGAATATTTTGGGAACAATATTTTTTTCCTTTTCTCATAATCTTTAGGGTAATGCAATGCAGAACTTTACTCATGCGCGAGGCTTTGATATTACTGAACCGACTTGCATCTCATCCTGCATATTCAGCCACAGTCTTGCAAGAATTGACAAGCTGTAGAGACATGGTCAGCTTGGCAATTGATACTGCTACTAGGCTGTCCAAGAAAAGCCGGAGACTACTGAAGACTGATCGTATTACTAAACAGATGCGGGAAGTTGAAGTAGTGGACTTGGCTTGCTTATTTAGGAAAAGAATTTTCACCTTCCTCGGAGAGAGCATTTCCTCGTGAATATAGTTTACTCGATCTCACATTTTTGCTAATTGTATGTACACTGATTTCTGACAAGGATCCAATACGTGAAAGGCTACTGTGATGGAAAATTTACATGGCAGCAAGCATTGTAACCTTAAATTTTGTAATGAGTCATGAATGATCCGCAATTTTGGACCAATATTTTTTTGCGAAACAGATTTTTCTTTGGTGTTAATCATCAAGCTTTTGTACTTCCCTTCTGCATAAAGATTATAGCATCTCAAGATGTCATTCCTCTTAGTTTTCTTATTTGTCAATAAATTCATAAAATTTGGACAAAATGAAATTGCCATTCATGATGCAAGGTTTCCATTGTAAACCAAATTTTGTTTTTCTCAGTTTAATAAAACAAATACAAGCATATGAAAAATATGCAATGAATCAAGGATACAGAGGCTGAAGTCCAAAACATAACATACACGGTGATATAATGCCAATGAATGAAGTGTAACATTCGACTATTTTACAATAATTACACATCACAATCCCCCTTAGACTATTTATCGTGATTTTTAATAAGGATAAACGTAGTCATATTTTCAAATATGTAATTTTCATAAATTTGTTGTCATCCTATACATCAGTTCAGTGTACAACAAGATAAACGATACCAAATTTGTTCTATAGATCCCAGAATCCCAGATGCACAAATTGCCTCCACAATGGACATGACAAACTTAGTTTTGAAGTTAATTAACTCAGACCCAACTCACCCAAGAGATTATACTCTACTATTATTCTATCTAGAACTTGATCCGGAACTACACCCTTCGCCAACATCTTTTCATACATAATTCTGGCTTCTGTTAGTCTCCCGACTCTGCAACAGCCATGAATAACTATACTGTAAGCCACAACATCAGGTAATAAACGCCTATAAACAGCAGCATCGAAAGTACTTAAAGCCTCTTCAATCAGTCCTCTTTTGCACAGGCCATCCATTATGATACTAAAACTGACAATATTGGGGTCTATTTTGTTCTTAGACATTTCTTCAAATAATTCAAAGGCACTGTCCAAGCCACAAAATTTGAAGTAGCCATCAGCTAAGCAACTGTATGTCACGACAGTAGGCTTCAAGCCTTCATTTAGCATTCTTCTGAAGATCAGCATTGCCTCGTTTACTCTACCCCTTTTACAGAGAGCGTCAATCAGAATACTATGAGTGATAACAGTGCCTCTGATGGGTCCATCTACTAGGCTTTCATATAGCTGCATTGCCTCGTCCAACTTCTCTGAAGTGCAGTAACCACAAATCATAGTGTTATATGTCACAATATTGGGTTCTGGCCCATGAGCAGCAAGTTTCCGAAAGAGATTATTCACATCGTCAACCCGGTCAACATTGAAGAGACCTCTTATAAGAACATTGTAAATGGCAATATCAGGACTCACCCTAGTCTGTTTCATAAGCTGATGAAGATTTAAGGCAGCCTTCAAGTTTTTCTGCTCACAGAAGCCATGAATCAGTGTGCAATATGCAATGGCATCCGGGGCATCTATCTTAACCATTTGGAAAAAGAGAATCAGAGCCTCGACATTTCTCTCTTGAGCAATCAGTGCTTTCAGAAGCAAAGTCTGAGTTACGGAATCAGGAATTATGTTCCTCATTGATATTAGACTATATACCTTCATCATATCCCTCATTTGGTTCAATCTACAATAACCATCTAGCAAAGAGTTATATACATATACATTAGGCTGTATACCCTTCTTTGAGGCCTGACAGAAGAACTGAAGAGCTTCATTCAAATAACCTTGTTTGCTAAGCCCATTGATAAGTACTGCATATACGACAAGATCTGGTACATGGCCAGCCACCAACATCTTTCTGTACCATATAAATGCCTCTTTCAGATCTCCCAATTTACAGAATCCATCAATAAGATTACTATAGGCCAAATTAGAAGGCTCCAAACCACGTTTCACATAATCACCAAAGACCCCAGTAGCCTCACGAACACAGCCAGCTTGGCATAACCCTTTTATGAGAATGCCATTGGTAACTATGCTAGGCGAGATTCCTTCCCTAAACATTCTTCTATACACTTCAATTACTTTCCCTAGATCTCCTACTCTCACATATGAATCCATGATTGAGCCAAAAATGACAGCATCCAACTTTTGATTCTTTTCTAAAGCCTCAGTCAAAAAGCGATGGCCTTCTTCTACCCTCTCATTCTTTAGAAGGCCATCAATAATAACACTATATACAACTAAGTCCGGGGATAGACCTCTCTGCAGCATCAAATTGTAAAGCATAAACGCCCCCTCCAAATTCCTTTTCTTGCAGTATGAGTCAATCAAGGTGCTAAATGTAACCAGGTTTGGACTTGGACCAATTTCTAGCATTGTATAAAAGAACTTTGATGCAGCTTCAACAGAACCTTCTTTACAAAGCATCTTCAGTACCTTGTTACAGTCAACAATATTTGGCAGAAAGCCCCTATCAATCATCTTCCGATGAAAGTTCAATGCTGTTTCAAAAAGATGATTACTAATAAAATTTCTCATGACAAACTCATACACATTGAACCCTTGTTTCAATTTTTTTGCCGACTGCTCACACAATTCTTCAAGTATATTAGTAATCCCATCAACGCAACGCGAGGCAACTAACGAATCAAGCATAGTTCTTAATGCATAAGGAGCAACATCAATTCCCATCTTCGACAATTGCAAGAAAACACTAATACCCTCATCAAATCTACAATTTCGAAAATACCCAGCAAGCAAGAAACTACAAACTGTGTTAGGATTAGTCCCATATGTCTTAAAACCCTCATGAAGTACCTCAAACACATCCAAGTCCCCAAATCTCTCAAGCATTTTATCGAACACTTGGTGGGCATCACAAAACAAGCGATGAAATAGCAAAATATGGGTAATGCAACAGTACGAATGCAGGGAATGATTAGACCCTAAAACCTTCTCAGACCATTCAAAGAGCCTAATTGCTGAACTGGGTTCTGAGCGCAGAGAGAAAAGGACTTGATCAACAATGGTGGGTCGATGTTCAGAGGAAAAATTACGGTTTTGAAAGGGTTTAAAGTTGTTGCCTTGCAACACAAAAAAAGTGCGAGTGATGAGAGATTTTGATAACAATGAAGAAGAGAGAGATGAAATGCGGTAAGGTCTTAGAAGGTTCAATGGAGGGAAAAGCATTATTTGAAGTTTCTGAAGAGTGTGAGAAACAGACCAAATCAAGCTCCATATACTGTTATACCAGCACTTGTATTCTCCAATAATGTCACGTGTCTTAACGGGTCGGATTTGTGTTAGACATAGATTAATTAATTATCAACTACGAAGTACTTTGTCTGTCTCCAACATATTTGTCTCATGCGATTGGATTATTTCACTTTATTAAGTTCTGATAGAGTAAAATTGACGAGAGAGAAAAATAGCGGAACCTAAAGTATTAAGTTTTGGTTGAGTAAAATTGATGAGAGAGAAAAATAATGGAACCTAAAGTATTTTTGTGAGAGAGTTGTGATCCCTACATACATTAATAGTTTTAATATTATGGAGCAATCTTAAAGAGATGACTTAAAAAGAAAATTTAGGCAAACAAAAAGGGACAAAGAGAGTATGTGTTAATCACGAATAAAAATTACGACTAATATAATGTTTAGGATCGTATATTAACCAAGATTTTGACTTTGTACTATCATACAAAATCCTACACCTTATGTCGATATGTGTGAAACTTAACTAGTGGATTATTCTTTGGTAAAATCTTTAATTAGAGCATGATAGAATACAAATAACACACACAAAAGAAATGCCTTTAATGATAGTGAGGGATAGCTCAAGTGGTTAGAGCTTCCCTCCCGGTTCCAAGAGATCTTAGGAACGATTCTCACCCTCGCCCTTGAGGCTCTCTAAACACCAAAAAAAAAAAAAAAAAAAAAAAAAAAAAGAAATGCCTTTAATCCATAATAAACAATGTTTTCAACCTTTATTTAGTATTTTTAAAACAATTATATGAGTATCTAAGATTGTAAAAACACTTGTAGTATATACAAAATTTCAACTTGAATCGAGTAGAGGGCTTAAATGACATATGCCCCACCCTTCAAGGTTAAAAATTAAAAGGGATAACACTTTAAAATTTAAATAGTTCGAGTAAAATCAAACATGCATTGAATTGACAATTATTAATTTTTTAGTGCACACCAGTTTAATAATCCTAAATTCGGCTTAGAATATGAACGTATTTGTGAGATAAACCATTACTCCAATAACATCTAAAGTAAAGGCAATCAATTGCCAAGTCTTAATTGTCAGTTTAATAACATTTCTGTGCAAATGCTTCAAATCTTGCAAATTTCATGAAATGAACATAAACACTTAAAACTAGCATCCCTGAAGTAAGTTCAATGAGACACTACTATATTGAATTCCCACCACGCTTTCGAAGAGTGGCACCATCTCAAGTGATTTTACATAATACTAGTATTTTGATTAATCAACTCTGTCAAAATAGACAAAATTCCATTCTAAACAACTATGCACTAACTGAAACCAACTGTATAGTGCAGCAACTCATCTCATAAGTATTAAGCAAGAGAAAAGACGTATCCAGAGTATGGTATAAACTTGTACAACTGAAGCTTCCTCAACCAACTAAAAAGCAGCACTATCACTTGCTATTCAATTTCTGTTGCAGTAGAGATCTGTGGAGTAAACTGCACTGAGACTCTGAGAGTATGTCAACCCAAGCTAGCTTCATGAATGCCACGCCTACACAACAAAGAAAGTTTGAAATGGTTATAACCAACAGAATGAAACAAAAAGAGAAATGGCTTTCATTCTTTTCACCTAAACAACCACTACCCGAACTTGTAAGAAATTATTAACCCTTACCCAGACTTATTTTAGTTGTGAATTAAACTTGGGGTAGTTTTCATCTAAACTTGTAGGCCCTTATTTTGAGCTAAACAGAAGTTATTTACTTGTAGAGTATCTGAATATGTAGGTTTTTCCTGAATTTTTTCTAGTTGAAAAGAAGAAATCCATAAGTAAGCTCCGCAATTTTTCTCTTCCGTTTCAGTTTTTTTGGGTCCTTCAGTCATCTACGAAGTATTATCTATTTGACTAAGTAAAGGAGTTTCCCTTCTTCTGGTTGCTGATCATTGCACCTATTGTGCTGCAATGATGGTCATGAAGGGTACTACATTCCCATGATCCCATCCCCATCCTCAAATTGGCAGGCATGGCAGCTTTCCAAATTCAGATCTGAGTTAAGCCTATTGCCTACATTATTCTGGTTCACATGAGTGTACCTCTAAAAAAGGCAGAATAATTGAATCAGTATGGAAAAATCAAAATAGTTTAAGGGTGAACACTATGAGTTATGCATCATTTCCCATTATAATCTCTGCAGGCATAAAATGCATCCAAAAAGAAGCATCATAATGTACCTTCAAATGTCAAAAATCTTTCCCATACTTTAGTTCATGTCCAACTAAATTGCATATAGAATCTGAATATTGACCATAAATTTCCGTATCAGATAAAGTTTGCTTATTATTCTTTTCTAGGATGTCCAGAAGGGTTTGCATTGAATTTTACCCTTTTTAGCGCGAGTTTAAATCTAGAAATATACAGCAGAGAAGAGAGACCAACTAATACAGTACAACAAAGGGTAAAAAGACCGTTCCTAAGTTTTGACCAGCTTCTAAGAATGCATAATTTATCATCCTACACAACAAGACAGAGATATACGAAGTATAATATTATTTTATTCTTAAAAACAGAAAAGTATTAAATTGTCATACCTGGAATGTCCCCAGCTAGTATATCTCATCATCAGGAATTTCTGGTGTCAAGAATTTTTTAGGATCTTTACTAATCTCCATATAGTTGAAATTGGATTTCACCTTTTCTGGAACAGGTTCAAGTGGAATAATGCTGTCTTTATCAACAACCCCGTCGATAAGCCCATATTCAACTGCTTCAATAGGAGACATATAGCGATCCCTATCAATGTCTTTTTCTACTTGTTCAACAGGCCGCCCAGTGAAGTCAGAAATAATTCTTGTAATATTATTCTTGTTATGCATGATTTCTCGGGCTTGAATTTCAACATCAATAGCTTGCCCACTAGCCCCTCCAAGAGGTTGATGAACCATTATTCTAGCATTGGGCATTGCAAGACGTTTCCCTTTGGCCCCAGCACCAAGAATAATTGAAGCTGTTGATGCAGCAATTCCAAGAGCAAGTGTTGACACATCAGCCCGCACAAGCCTCACAACATCAAAGATGGCCATCGTTGCACTGATAAACAAGTCAAAAGCAAAGCCATGAGTAACTTCAATTGAAGGGGGTCGGATAAGCTTGTCATCCAGCAGAAAATCACATTTATATACAACATTTCATTTCAGACGTTCAATGACACACAAGTTTTTGATAGATTTATGTTCATCATCATCAATCAACCCACACTAGTAATTAACAATATTAACAACCAAGGCTGAAATTCCATTTACTCATAAAACTAGAGAGGAAATTCTTATTTCATTTTCTTACAGTATTTTGTTGACTTCAAAGATCAATAACAGCTGATTTGTAGGAAAATACACATAACAATACAAGTATATTTTGTAATTTAACCAGAGTCTACTATTTGGAGACCTTGTCTTTAAAGAACAAGCTTATATTTCTCCCTAACAGAATACATGTAACCATCACAACAAAGTTCAGAAAGAATCATCATCGTGACTTCTTCCATCAGCAAGCACAATCACAATTATTTGCTCGCTACTTAAAAAAAGAGATTACACTGTATTTTAAATTAGTCTTACCGTCATGCAGAGCTTCAAACTGCTGCCACATTTAACAAGGAATAAACTTCTAATATATTACGGAGTAACTACCAATGAATCATCAAAATTAGTCAAAAATGTCTTATCAAAGCATGTCATTTCTTTAATTAGCACATTCATCCTTGCCTTAACCAGCCAGAAAAGACCTATACTAGTAATAGATGAAATTATCCTACCATCACGACTCACGAACCCCACCACATCATATTTTCAAAAATGCTAGTGAATTGACAGTATTGTAAATTTGTAAGCAGCTGAGTTTTCTACAATTATAAGGGATGGGAAGTTGTGGATTTCCATGCACATCATTTGTTCCAACACACCAACACCAAGGTTAAAGATCTAACAACTACACATCAACCAAACCAAAAGAGTAAGTAGCTAATTACATGCTTTCGCCCAACCAATCTCCAAATTGCCCACCCAACATATAATTAGCAAATGCAATAACTATACTCTTCCTATACGTAATTATTGATTACATGGTAAGATGAAATTATTGATATTTTCATCAATTTTTTTACAAGGATCCGTTAGAGATAATATATAGGAAGACAGAATTGATAAAGATTTCTACACCTTCAGTTGTACTAGCAAAGGGTCACGTAATTCCAGACACAAACACAATTTTTTGGAATCAAATGACAAGGTCCTATGCCTGCAATGCTAAGGTAATGTCAACCAACGCTGACTGCTACTGTCAAACCAATACAAGAATAGAGACTGCATAAAAGGAAAAAAAAAAACACTTCACCAACAGCTCTTAATGCACTATTTTATCCAGCCATCTCTATAATCACCTAGAAGACTTGCTCAATTATTCAAATTACCTTGACTTCTTTTTAAAGCATGTATGAGTTGGATAATAATGACTGGAAGCCCTTCTATCTTACCAAGAGAAACCTAAGATTATGTATCACAGACTTAAGTCATGTTGTATTACTAATTCCCATGTTGTATTAGTAAGACTTAAGTCACCTCCTCTTTCCATATAAACTGCTCCCTTATAAATTTCCTTATCTACGTCAGTATAGTATCAAAGATGAGGTCATAGTAAGCTTTTTTTTTTTTTTTTTTTGAAGGATGAGGTCATAGTAAGCTTAGTTACCTTACACTATGTACAATACCCCAAGTTGATAGCAGTGTCATGATCACATCTTATTTCAGTTTTCTGATGCCTTATTAATGATTTCCTACACCAACTGATATAGTTGCAACAGCCTATCTTTATCTAGCACCTCAGCAACATTTTCTCCAAGGTGACAATAATGAGCAGAAATCTTTACTTCAAAGGCAGGATAAAAATACCTGCTTTAATTAGTAAAACTACGTTTACATTATATACCTCCAAAGACTCTTACAAAGTAACTTTACGTAGTTCCATAGAAAACTAGAAGGAGGGCAGGAGTGAACAAGTTGATAAAAGGTTAAGATGCGTGAAATAACTAGGCAAAACCAAGAAAGTGGTGTAACATTCTACTTGGTCTTCCTTCCATAGGTCTTAGCCAAACTAGAAGAGAACCCTAAATCACACATGGAAACATCATTTGACATGGAAAATCTCTGATTCAAAAGTTACCCTTATGGCATGCTTGGATTGAGAGTGATGTATTACTAGGGTAACAAGAGTAAAGCTAAAGAAATGAAAGTGAATATAAAGAGGGATGAGATAGTGATGGTGTGATTGTAAGGGGTATTACCATATTATGTACTGATGGTGTGGGGTGAGAGGTGAAGAAAAGAAATGTTTACACTCACTTAGGAGTAATAGTTATACTAGGGGAAGGGTGAATAACTTTAATCCTCATTATGAGGGAAATGATTCCTCAATCTCTCTTTTCCTCATGCAACTATAGATTTTTTTTCATTAGTAAACACCTTACCTCATAGAACAACACCTCTAATCACTTATATTATTCCTATGTTGACTTGTATTACCCCTTAATTCATTATCCCCAACCCAAACGTGACATTAAAAGGTATCGAAGTCATTTCTAACATAAGGAGAAAAAAAAAACCTAATTCCGCATCAATTTATTGTAAAACAGTCTCATACTACACTTTACATTTCCTTTGAATAAGCAAGGGATCATCTCTCACATATTCCATACCTTAGACAAATTTACACATTTCCATTCATTCTCTTGAAAACAAAACAAAAGCATATTCAAAGTGAGATTAACAATGCAACTAACACACAATATATTCTCTCCAAAAAAAACCCAAAAAGACAAGCAAACAAACAATACATTGGCTTAAAAAGTAAACACTCTTCCCAATTCCATCCCACTGACATATTTCACATTCCCATTCATTCTATAATAGCCATTTATTACTGCTTACCAAACGACCGCAACAACTCAATGAACAAAGTTCCGAAAACAAAACAAGAGCATGTCCAATGTAATTTCAACAATGACTAAAGCAACTATTCAAGTGCAATTAGCAGCAATTAATCTTCTCCAAGATAAACCCAACAAACAACAACAGATTATAACCAAAATAATCACAAAAATTATACGAGTAACAAATAAATGAAAAAAATCATATACCTAAGAGAACCACCAGGAGAATTGACGAAAAGGCGAATATCCTTAGTATGATCTTGAGCATCCAACAAAAGCAATTGACTAATAATAGAATCAGCAACAAAATCATCAATTTGACTACCCAGAAACACAATCCTTTCTTTCAAAAGCAACCCCATTACATCAGCTTCAGCACCTCTCATGGCGGTCTCCGGCGTCTGTTGGGCCGAACCCATGATGGGGCCCAGCCCAATATCATCGAGCCCAAGATTGAAGGGGTTGGAAGATGGAGAATTTAGGGTTGGTGGGTGTAATTGGAGGGATGAGTGGGCCCGAAGAGAAGGAGAAGAAATGGGTTTGAAAAAAGGGGTTTTGGAGAGAAAATGGCGGAATTTGGGGGAAGAAAAAGATGGGGTTTGAGGGAGGAAGTGAGGAGAGAGAGTGGAGGAGAGAGAAAGTGAAGCCATTGATTTTGTGAGGGATGAAGATGAAGATGAAGATGAAGTGCAGTGGAGTAGAATTGATTGATGTTGCTAAGCAAAAGGAGAGAATCAAAGTGAGAAAATTTGGGTAAGGTTTAACGTTTATTACCTCCCAAATAAAAAAAAAAAAAAAAAAAATTGGTATATATAGTAAGAAAATCAATTATTATCCCTTTGTTTCATAATAATCGTAATAGTAGGGTTGACACAAATTTTAGAAAATGATAGACTAGGGAAATGAGAACTTTTTTAATATAAAGTATAGTTAATGGGGGATATATTTAATTGTTTAGGATCCTTGTCAAATAAGAAAGTGTTGCAATTATTATGAAACGGATGAAAAAAAGAAAGTGTTACGATTATTATGAAATGATGGGAGTATCTAACAAAATTTATCGAAGTAATTTGCAACAATTGAAACTTAAGTACCTAAAATGCAACTTCTGATGAAGTTTGGTGCCTTATTTTGATATTAACTCGAAAGGAAAGAATTAACCTCGTTGGAAAAACTACAAAGATGTGCAACAACTTGTTGATTACAATACTTTAGGGTTTTTGGTGCTTTGTTTGTTTTTGTAGTGGCATGACTAAATAACCAATTACTTGGAAATAGCTTTGAAGAAAATTAAAAGCACAAAGTTTTATATGTGGCTGGCCACACCGTGTGACCAACCACTATAGAGGTTACTTTGCTAGTGTTATGGGGGTTACTTGATCAGTGTTAAAGGGGTTACTTTATCATTGTTATAGAGTTACTTGGTCACTGTTATAGGGGTTACTTGATTGGTATTACCGGGGTTACTTAATCAATGTTATAGGGGTTACTTTAAGTGGTCACACGATGTGGCCGGCCGCACACAAGACGAGCTGAATTAAAAGAGGCATTAGAAATGATGGAGATTAAAAAAAAAAGGTTTTAATAATAATCATAAGATTCTAGTTTGTTATTCTCCTTAAAAGCACTAGCACCAACACTGAAGGCGCTTGTTAACTTTTGTCTTTTAATTTCACTATTTTTTGTCATGGTAAAATTTTGCTGGTCGTAAATATGTTGCACAAGTACAAGTTTAGTTACTCTGCATAAGTCTTATGCTCTTCGTAATCCAACAAAATCATAATCCTTGAATATCAGGAGAAATTCTTCACAGTATATCTCAGCCCATAGGCTTGGAAGTTGGAAGCAAATTGCACTTAACCTTGAAAACCGAGTGAGTGAGAGCTACTTGAGACTTATACATGACATCAAAACTAAGCTACATGACACTGGCTAACATTTTTTTAAATCAAACCACACTATTTCTCAACTGCCATATGAACAGCATATAAAAGCAACTATATTGTAATCCTCCTCTTCTGACAACTCATTGTTCTTCATCTTCTTGTGTATCATCAGATGCAAGTAGATGGTTAAGTGCCACCTTGGTTTTCTTTGATTTTGGTGAGTTCTCTCGAACATCATCAGCTTCACCCTTTCTTTTCAGATTTTCTTCAGTAGTCTCCTTCAATTCACCCTCTTCACCCTTTTCTTCCAATGGTGTGCCTGACTCCCCATCTTTAACATCTTTAACTTCAGCTGCAGTTGCCTCTTCACCAGCCTGAACCTCAGTTTGTTTTGCCTTCTCATGCTCTGACAGTAACGCACGAATTTCCTCGTTGCTTGCAAGGTCTAGGACGCTTTTCCCTGCTTTTGTCTTAGCGTTGAGATTGAAGCCTTTCTTTAGCAAGTACTTGGTCAATTCTACATGAGAACCTTGAACAGCATAGTGCAGAGCAGTCATGCCCTTGCGATTGATAGCCTTAACAGAAACCCCTGCAGAGACAAGGGCTTTGACAACCTCCAAATGTCCCTTCTGGGCAGCAAAATGGATTGCAGCCATGTCATCCACAGCTGCAGCGCTAACATCTGCCTTGTGCTTGCAGAGAGAGCTAACAACGTTTGCATGGCCAGCCCAAGCTGCCAAGTGTAGTCTAATGTTCACAATCAAGTAAAGGATACAAATGACAGAATATCAATACAGCTACTGCTCTGTTTGAATTATTTATTTCTATCAACCAAGGGAGCCTCTGTTCAGTCTAAATAAAATAAATTTCAGTAAAATCGAGTAAAGTAGATAAGGATAAATCTTTTTAACTTTAACTTGTCTCGGTTGATTGCTAGGAAGCCACTAAAAATCCAAGAAGGGTGACTTTAACCTCACACAGAAAGTGGGTTCTGGGTGTCATAAAGTTGAACACTTTCAAGCAATTCTTTACAGAAGCTATATAATAAAGCAATAAATGAAACTCAACACAAAAGCAAAGGAGGCTAACAAGAGTAGCTTGAAATACATAAGCTCATAATGGAATAACCTAGTGTCCAAACAAAATTAAATTTACTACCTCCATCCAGATTTAGGTAGTACTTTACTAGTTTCCATTAATTAGGTACTGACAATTAGTTCAACAAATCAGAAAGGAATAAACCAAAGCAGAAAATCTTACTAGTGAAATAACGTTCAGAAGCTAATTGCATGAGATTGAGAACATGCAAGCACGATGGTCACAGTATAAAAGTTACAGCTTCTGTTCTAAGACAAGCAGCCTGAGCACTCTAGAATTTTACAAGTTAGGACTTCTCGGCCTCACTAAATTGGCTTTCCACAAGAAATTTATTTTGTCTTCTTACGCTGTGAAATAGTTACAGTGAGCATAGCCAATTCCAGCACAACAGCCAAAAATCAACCAAAACACCTCTTCCACAAATACGGAAATACTTTAGTTAACAATGATTGAGCTGACTTCTGGAACATCAAGAACAATGACAACAAGAGATAGCAGATCCACTAAAGGTTGATCAATGATTAAAAAAAAATATGCAGCTTGCCCTCCTCTAAATTGACCAATGATCTATCAATAAATATAGTCTTCCAAACCTAAATATTAAAAAGCGGACCTATAACTGATGTCAATTCTCTTAGTTTTGATTAAACTGTGATTTGATAGAGCAACTTATCTATCCTATATCTCAACTGACCACAAGCACTTTCTAGTTAGATATATGGTTATGCTGGGAGAAAGAAGAGGAGAAGCTACTTCACTACTACTTTCCAACAGAACCTTGAACAGTTCAGTGGATGTACTGACTCAATTGCCTATGTCTAATTCTTAACTAGTCATTATAAATCTTGCATATTAGACAAAATCATGTACAAATTCAACAGTAAATCTCAAAGTTTACAAAGTATCTGGCTAATTTATGTTCCATTTGGAGTATCAAATGAATTTTATTTGTTCCTGTCATATTTTCTCTACTCCACCTCTTTACTTACCTCTTTGCTAGTAACCTAGATAGATACCTCACACCTTTCAGTATGTGGCTCACACAGAGAACATTTGATCCAACAAAATCAGAAATGTACTAACATGAGCCATGTTCTTAGGGAGATTTTCATCTATTATGCTGACACTTTCTATTGAAAAACTCAAGAGTCATTGGGTTGCATCATTAGCACAGGTCTGTACTTGTACTTTTGTAAGAAACTAAGTCAACTCAACGCACAAATAGGTCAATGAAACAGAGCAAAAACTAGAAAATATTAAAGACCAAATACTCAACCAGCCATAAAATTTCAAGTTCCAGCAAGAGTTGTAAAGCTCAATCTAAAATTAAAGATAGTCATTTCTTTTGTTGGTCACTAAGACACAAAACACTATTAAATGCTTATTTAACCGATTCAAGACAGAAAAATTTCATTACCTCCAAACTTAATCTCAAAATCACATGCATGCTGTAAACTTCAATGAGATTAACATATAGGTGAAGTGTCTTGAAGGACATAGCATATGAAGTCCTAGCATTATATCTATATGGCTATCTATTTGCCAAAACTGGATGATCAGGCTGATTCTCATCTCTTCTTCCTCTCATTCTCCTTTCACTAATCTGAATTTGAGTCATCAGAGCCTTATCTGGCTTAATGTAACTTAGTTCCTCAGCACCTTCAAAAAATGAAACTCTCATAGTTTGATTATCTAAGGGCAGGACACCTTTTGTCATTTCTAGGAGAAGACTTATGGTGTAATTCTGTACTATGCCTGACTCAAACGCCATTTGAGATCAATGCATTGATAACTACATAGAGCAGTTGCTCACCAATACACAAGTATTGAAAATTTCCACAATAAAATTAGGAGTTTCTTAAATTAAACTTATTACCCTTTGATCCTTATCACTCTAATACTACCATACTGTCAAAATATGAAATAAGGAAATGGAAGCAATGAATCAATACTGAAAATTTAACACAGAACCAGCAATGCTACCAATTTAGCATAATGTCATAAGATAAATGGCGCAGAAATCGATAACATCACAAGAAAAAAATGAAAAAGAGAAGCTTATGGCATATTATATGCTTTACAAATAACTGCATACACAAAGAATAACACCTAAATCACATTTACAAGAAAACCTAAATTTCTACAACTTCCATTTCACATACTCTTCAAATTTTCAATGTGGGATGTTTAAAATTTACTGACCAAATACTTCATCATTACATTACTCATGTAACAAATGCACAACCCTAACCAAATTATACACTTGTAGACTAGTAATCCTCAAAAATCTAAGTTGAAAACTGGGTATTCCAAACAGAACAAAGAGATTATCAATAAATAACTAAAAACAAATTCTTTAATAATTTCATCAAAAAAAATTCCAAACCCACTTCAGAAACATCAAGATAGCCAAAAATAAACAAATTCGATCAACACCCAACAAATATAATGAAATTCTGAAGCTCAATCAAAGCAGAAAATTCAATCACAGCACAAATTAATACCAATAGTTGAATAAATTGAGAGAGAAAGAGGATACGGAGTTCTGGAATGCTTATCTCTGGAATTGATAGCTAAAGGGTTAGAACTGATAATCAACTCAACAGCAGTAACATCTCCATTTCTAGCAGCAGTATGAATATCATCATCTCTGTTGTTCCCCATTTCTTCTTGCTGTTATTCTGCAACGTCTGCTTCGAAATTCAAATACCCACTGCTGAAATTGGGTGGGGTGTTTTGTAGTATTAACGGGTTTTCGGGTATTTTTTGTAATCGGTTTTGGGTATGGAGTTTGTTTGATTAGGGATTTATTGAAGGGTATTCGACTATTCTTCTTTTTAGGGAATGGAATTAAGGCCTAAATCATCACCCCACACATACACCTTGGTTGAACCCGACTCGCACATTTGAAATACTACGAACGGAGTAGTTTTTTTTTGGAACTAGAGCTGGTAAAAAGTCGTGTCGGGTTCGTGTTCGTGTTTAGTCTCGTGTCAATTTCGTTTTATTCATGAAATTTATCAAAAACTATGTATAATGTAAGATAATTGCATAATTCGACCACTTTATCTAAACAGGCCGTGTTTGGGTTGATTTTGTATCGTGTTGTGTCAACTTCGTATTTTCTCTTAGTAACTTCGTGTTCGTGTTGTGTCAGTTTCAATCGTGTTGTTGTGTCATGTCAGAGATTGCGAGCTCTATATGGGACCAAATTCTAAAAGCTCAGAAAGAGCAATTAGCTTTATGTTCATTTATACACCAAAACAACTAATACATATAGTAGTATCTAACACTTTAATAGAAAACACTAATCACGATCGACTAGTCAAAACGGCTAATGCAAACAACTACCACCTAACAACTACTAGCTAATTACTAAACTTGACCAAGGTTAAATTTGAATGTAACATGTGTCATGTTTAACAGCTCAATCATCTGATTCATCTCACATACAAAATTAAGGCTAAAATCAACAATTTTTGTTTTTTCATTATTTAATTGGATGTTGTCTAATAATTAACATAAATTTGTATAGTAGTACTCCGTAACTACCTCAAAATTTGGTACTTCCACCATTTGTACATATTTGATTTTAACACATATTTTTAAATTTTGTAAATGTTAATAAACTAATGCGTCATTCAATTGAATGAATAACGATGAACAACTAATTGTCAAGCAAATTCAAAATCTCAATGGTATTTTTTTTTTTTCGTCAATTAACGGAAGAACATATCAAAGAAAGCAAGTAGGACGTATGACATATGACTCGGGTAATAATACATACTCGTAATTGTTTAGTACTCGTATAATACAATGTTTATACAAATTAAAGCAAAATTGAATAAATAACAAAATAAAAAGAGCAGTTATATTGACATTAGCAACACGTAAGAAATAGGGGGAAATGGACTAACCGTAATTATATAAATAAATAAATTTGTATAGTTGCATGGATTCCATCTCCATGTAAACCATGCACTTATAAATTCAATGTTGTTGACTTTTATTTTCAAAGTAGAACTTTGTATGTCAAGCTTTTAATTAGTGTGTGAAACTTTAAGTAAGCTCGTACTTTGAGGATTACGTACTTTAATTGCCTTTGCCTTTGGCTTTTTATGTTGTGCATGTCCTACGTTAAGTTCTTCTTGCTAATTTGTCTTAATTAGGGAACTAATGACTTTTTCCCAGGCCATATGATTGAGATTATATTGGAGTTAATACAAATTGAAGGTACTAACGTTTGTCAAAAGTTGCACAAAAGAGACTAAAGTTTCAGAAGTTCAAGTTGCAGATAGAGTACTCACCGCATAATTGACCTTAACCAAATAAAAAAAAAAGGAAAATTAAAGTTCTGACACTAATAAAGAGGGGACTAAAGTTTGCCATTGTTCAAGGAATCTATCAGTTAACTTATAGCTGGTACAACTCCAAAAAAACTGACTCCCATATATACTCAGCTCCATAGGTATCTTCTCCACCTTGCATCTACTGAAGAAAAAAAAAATAAAAAAAAAATCAGATGAAGCAATTATAAAAATTACAGTAGCATCCTGTAAGGAGAAGGAGAAGGCCTATTGAACGCCATATCACTCTGCAATTCGCATCATACACATCAATTATGCTGTAATTAGCATAAACAAGCCATGGTTTAATCAAATTATTTTATTTTTTTTAAGAAAAAATCCCCATTCACATCATACACATAAATATGTTGTTATTAGCATAAACAAGCCTTAGTTTAATCAAATTAATTTTATTAAAAAAATCCCCAATTCAATTACAATATGAACCCTAGTTTTTTTTAACCCTCGCTAATTTACTGTTATTTTAACAATCAAACTATAAATTACCCATTTCTCAGTATGTCGAAGTACGAAATTATGACATTTAACCCAATTGTTGTAATGCATAACCCAAAATCAAACATTAATACACAATTCTGAAATCAAGTTCAATTGTATAGATGCAGAAATCAAATTCAATTGTAAAGTTGCAGAAATCAAACCTTCACCTTCCTTCGCAAAATTATAGCTTTCTTCTAACAGAGGAATTTCAATTTTCTGATTTTTGATTGCAAACTGGTTTCGTTTTTATGGAACAGAGGGAGTTCGTTGATTGTCAGTGTAATGATGGCTTTTCACTTCCTAAAGTATATATGAGTGGACAATTAAGCTTTTTTTTTTATTTTTTTCAAAGGGAAATAGAAAGTAACCGGTTAATCGGTTATTACCGATTGCAACCGGATTGTTAACCTTGAATAGTGGGTTCAGTACCCTCTTTGCAACTTCTGAAACTTTAGTCCCTTTTGTGCAACTTTTGGCAAACGTTACTACCTTCAATTTGTATTAACTCGATTATATTGTGATTGGAAATGTGATCGATATAGTAAATATATTTAACTTTTGTAGTGTTTGATGGACATACTTGTGATGTGATAGTATACACAATACTTTAGTTTTTACATCAAGATCAATACATATAATCATAACAAAATTTAGACTTTTTTCGTAATAATCCATTGTTTTAAAATGATTGTAAACTCACAATAGTAATATTTATGTTTCACTCTATGATTATTATATACAATTTGTTGTGTTGAAGATAAACGAACAAGCTTAGTAATGAGTTATGAGTGATAATATGATAGTAATATAACATAGCCACATAGGTATACACAATTGTGAAAATACATAATAATGGAGATCAAGATAGTTAGATAGAGTAATCTAGCTATCGAGCTATACAACTCCGATCCTCACATGCTACCTTGACCTGACTACACCAATCAGAGTTTGAGAGGGACATGGGACTAAAGATAAAGGGAAATCTTCCTTCACTCACTCTCAAAAAGTCTGCTAATTTAATCCGATCAATCCATTCCTATTAGTTTGAATTCAAAGTTGTGATCGCATATCACAATGTAAATCTCTACCGCCACTAAATTGGTTTACCTTTATACTTCGTATTAAACTATGACCTTTTCCATATAGGATGTTGGATACAAGTCATAGAACTATACACGTTGAAAACATATTTTGATTGATCTAATTTTAATTCTTATTTTATGACAAAACATATATAGTCAACTAGTCAAGACTCTCAAGAGCCATTACATAAAGTTGCTGCCGGCCAAGTTGAAAACTTAGGACGAGGTCCAAGCTTATAACAAATTTAAACTAGCTAGCATGTATTATTGTTGCCTTCTTGCTAATAAATTTAGGCAAAACATACAAAGCACTGATTAATTTATTAATAAGATGACGAAGATTTGTCATTATATTGTTGTTGTTAATGTGTTCATAATATTTAAATTATAATAGTCAAAATCATAGCAGTTATAATGTTTTTGTCATCTTTAATTTGTAATTATCTATTACGCTAATATACTCTCTAATGTTAAATGTTACCTTACACGTATAAGTTGAGTTGAATGACAATTTCATATCAAGTAGTAGTATTATTATAATTATACGTTTATTTATGAGGAGATATGGGCTCATCACTTACTATGGCATACGTAGTATTAGTTGGCAGCAATTTTGTACGTACCCGTCACTTGGTTATATACTTCTTGTATAATAATATAAAGGAAAATTTAGAAATATTAATCCCAACTTTGCTCCGTTTTGTTTTAATAATCCCAACTTTGGGGGGTGTTTTGTTTCTTCAATCCCAAATCGGTCAACAAAAGTCAATGACCTATTATATCAGGTCACTTCACACATGTCAAATCCTGATTGGTCCAAAAAATTAAAAAAAAAAAACAAAAAATCAGAACAGCAGCCCCCCACGCCCACCAGCCCTCCTCCCTTTCCACCACCAGCCCACCTTAACCCCACCATTACCCAGCCCGCCGTTGCATTTCTTTCCGGCAAGCGGCCGCCGATTAAGGTGGGCCGGTGGTGGAAAGGGAGGAGGGCTGGTGGGCGTGGGGGCTGTTGTTATGATTTTTTGTTTTATTTTTATTTTTTGGACCAATCAAGACTTGACACATGTCAAGTGACCTGATATAATAGGTCATTGACTTTTGTTGACCGGTTTGGGAATGAAGAAACAAAACACCCCCCAAAGTTGGGATTATTGTAGAATAATCCAAAGTTGGGATTATTAAAACAAAACGGAACAAAGTTGGGATTAATATTTCTAAATTTTCCTAATATAAAGGATATTTTGTGAGAAACTACCTTTTAAAGCATTTTTTTTTGCGAGAAACTACCTTATAAAAAAAATGTTGTAAAAAACTACCTTATAAAACTAAATTTTGTAAGATACTACCCTTGGTCGGAAAGTGAGAGTTGACTTAATTTTTCCGGCGTTGACCTAGTCATGTGTCGGTCACGTGACGTTTAATTCATCTTTCCCCATTTTCCCCTAATTTTCCCCGAGCCTATCCATATACTACCCAAGATGAATTAAATGTCATGTGACCGGTACATGACTTGGTCAACGCTGGAAAAATTTAGTCAACTCTCACTTTCCGACCAAGGGGTAGTATCTTACAGCATTTAGCTTTTATAAATTATAAGGTAGTTTATTACAACATTTTTTTATAAGGTAGTTTCTCGGAAAAAAATTACTTTAAAAGGTAATATAAAATAAAAATAGCGAGTAAATAGTAAACCTCTTTTAAAAGTTAAATTTTAGCCATCATTCTTAATAGGATAATCTGATCTAATTTTAAACTGCAATCTGAAAATTATTCAAAACTTTATTTTAACTATATATATATATATATATATATATATATATATAGGGGAGGGATCCGGTAAGAACCCCTCCTTATGTAAGAACCCTAGTTATATAAGAACCAATCTCATCCGTAGGATTAGATTAGGATGAGCGGTCAAGATTAAAACAAAAAAAAATCCCCCAAAACCCTCCCCAAACGTTCATACTTTTCTCTCTCCTCAAACTTTCAATCCTCTTTACTTTCTCTCTCCTCAAATCTCAAAATCTAGCCCAAATTGTTGCAAAACAACCTAAATTGCTCAAATCAGGTACGTTTTTCTTTGATTATGTTCTAATTTTATGAATTTCACATGATATTCAATTCGATTTTGTGATTTCAATCGCATGATGTTTGCAAACTGGCGATTTTGATTTTTGCGATTTGATTTTCATGAATTTTGCATGAGTTAAAGCCGATTTTGTATGTTTTTCTTTTCGATTTTGTATGAAAAAATTCATATTATACTGAACGCCCATGACACAACCCAGAGGCCTCGAATTACCAGCACATATTATTATTTTTGAGTAAGTTAGATAGCTTTAGTGTTCAAATTTAGGGTTCAATTTTAGTTCGATTTTTGTTCGATTATTTTGTTTGATTTTTGCTCGATTTTAGTTCGAATTTTGCTTGATTTTAGTTCGATTTTGCTAATATTTTGATTTTTGTTCGATTTTGTTCGATTTAATTAGTTCAATTTATGTTTGAATTATTTTGTTCGATTTTTGTTGTTTGTTTTCTGTCAATTTCGAACAGGCTTGTATAATGTTCTAGACTCTTTTTTTTTAAATTATGTTTTAAACTCATTCTATTATGTTCTATGTTTAAATTAATGGATAATGTTCTAAACTCTTTTTTAAAAAAAATTATGTTCTAAACTCATTCTATTATGTCTACGTTTAAATTAATGGATACCCGACAACATAATCATAATGGAGGTGGATCTTTGATTTTTACGATATATAATTCCACGTTTTAAAAGCATTGCTAAATGCTGCTGAATTATTCAATGGGAAAATGTACCGAAGAAAATTCAATAATAGAGCATCTAGAACAGAGACAACATAAAATCAGTTATCATCCCGACCCATCGCTGTCAATTCGTTCATAATACGATGTGACATTACAATCAAAGAGGAATCATAAAAAAGGCGTAAAATTAGAATGTTGTCAAAATGACTTTGATCGATATGCTTGATCGCAGTGACATTGCTTGATTTTATGAGGCTGGTGGTTAATTTCTTTGAGGTTTTGTTATAAATTTAAACCAAGACTGAGGCATGTTAATTAGCTTTTCATTAGTAAACTCAGCTAACAGCATATGGTACTCGACTTCTTCCCCATGCTAGACCTTTGCAAGGTTTGACTCCATCAGCAGCAACATGACAATTGGCTTTGGTGAGGATTTATTTCTTTGGTGACTCAGATTCCTTTGTGTTCTCCAGGCCTTTTATGGTCTTATACTTGAGTTTCTCTAGTTCATTGGGTCTTCATTCTACAATCAGCAATTCAGCATATTGGGAACTATGCATTGTATTTCGGATCCTTTTGCATGGAGTTCACTTATATATCGACTGTGCATTTTAATGGATCCTTTAGAACATAGGGGTTGTTAATTGGTTAGGGGTTGTTAGTAGTGAACTTGTGATTGCAGGGCTGAAAACAAACTTTAGAACATAGGTAGAAAAAATTTGGAACATAAGAAAAAATTAAAACATAGGTTGAAATAATTTAGAACATGGGCTGAAAATAAACTCAATCAAACCTTATCATGTTTCTGTTTCATTTGTCTTTTAAATTTCTAGTTTACTCATTCTATTTTGGGTTTTTCACTCTCTAGCATGTTCTAAACTATTTTTCAGCATATTCTAAATTATTCCTATGTTCAAAAATATAATAATAATGTTGGAATGTTACTAATGTTTTTGATTTCTTAATGTTGCAGTAAAATGCAAGGCCAAAATGAAGAAAAATCAGAAGAAGGAGTTACTAATATACAAGAAGAAGAAATTACTTATGTAAGAAAAAGGTAACTAAACTAATGTTCTAAACTTTACCTATTATGTTTTAAATTTTGTTCTAAAGTTTTCCAATATGTTCTAAAGTTTTCCCTTAAGTTCTAAAGATTTGTATTATGTTCTAAAGTTTTCCATTATGTTCTAAAGTTTTCCATTATGTTCTAAAATTTTCTCTTATGTTCTGAAGATTTGTATTATGTTCTAATATGTATCCATTATAGTTTATGTTCATCTTATCCCTTTATATTTGCACTCTATTTAATGTTAGTTGTATTCTAATTATTTTTAATTGTTTTTAAAGGAAAGTTGAAAACGTTGAAGCGGAAGTAATTGATAGATCGGAATTTGAGAAGCATATTGAAAGTAAAAGTGTTGCTATAAGACATAGAAAACTTCCAACAAGGCTTCAACCACCTCGAAAATTGCAAAAAAGGAAGGAAGAGAAAAAGATCAAGAAGAAGGAAAAGATCAAAAAGAAGAAGAGGGTAATAATGTTGAGGATGATGACAAGAATAATGATAGTAAAGATGATGGTGAGGATGATAATAAGGGTGATGTAAAGATGAAAGAGAAAGATGAAAAAGAGGAGATGGAAGATGATAGTGAGGAGGAACAAAAAATCAATAAAAAAAATCAAACTCAGGTAATAATACTCTTTAATCTTTACAATCTTTATTTTTATGTTCTAAAGTGCACGCTTATGTTCTAATTTTGCTTATCTATGTTCTAATTATGTTTATCTATTCATGGTGAGGATGTGAAGAAGAAGAAAAGAAAGATTGAAAAAGAAGAAGATGGTGAGGATGTCCAAGTAGTAGAAGCTAATGAGCAAGATAAACTAGTTAAGAGGCAACCTTATCAAAGAGTACCTCCTACTCAATTCATGAAGGATGTGTTGATAAATCTTTCGGAAAAAACAAAAGCAAGCTATTCGGAACATTGGTTTTGGAGGCTTTTTGGAATTGGATTTACCAATCCATATTAATTCTACGTAAGTAGTAGAATGTTATGTTCTAAAATCATATTCTAAAATCATAAGTATTATCAATGTTATGTTCAAAATTATGATTTGTCATGTTTGAATTGCTATACACTAATGTTCTAAATTATAAGATTATGTTCTAAATTAGTTATGCTCTAAATTTTGTGCATATGTTCTAAATAATATGATTATGTTCGAAATTAGCTATGTTCTAAATTATGTGCATATGTTCTAAATTGTATGATTATGTTCTAAATTATGTGCATATGTTCTAAATAATATGATTATGTTGTAAATTACTTATGTTTTAAAGTTACTTCTTGTATTCTAAAATTATGAACTCTCATGTTTGAATTGCTATACACTAATGTTCTAAATTAATTTTTTGTTATGTTCAAATGTATGTTTATTATGTTCTAAAATAGACTTTTTTTTATTATATAATGTTCTAAATTATGTTCAAAAGTTTAAATATTATACTAAATGTTTTAATCTTCTATGTTCTAAAGATTGACTATTATATTCTAAATATAGCTGTATTGTGCTTTAAATCTTACATTTTTCATTATAATTCTAGGTTGACAGAAAACTTGGTTACGAATTTTGACACGGAGAGATGTTGTTTGATGTTACCAAAGAGAAAACAAGAAATCTTTTTGGAGGCAATTGATGTTCATTTGGCTTATGGGTTGCCATTGGGAGGCAAAAGGATTGAGCAACCAAATGATGAGTCAAATCTGAAATGGAGCAAGTTTCTAAAAGCTTGGAGAAGCAAGTTTGGCCTCAAAAAAGTATGATGATATAATGTGGTTATGTTTTAAATTTTATGTTCTAAAGTATGAATTTTATGTTATAAATTGTATGTTTTAAAGTGCTTTGCTTATGTTCTAAAGTGTTTTTTGCTTTAAAATAGATCTATTATCTCCATAGGTTTTAATTTATATGTTTTTTTTTTACCTCTAAAAGGGAAGTCCAACCAACAAGAGATTGATTGACAGAATTCAAGAATTGAAGAAGGAAAAATCAGTTTCTGATGAATTTCTTTGGAACTTTGTGGTATGTGTTGTCAATTGTTGCATTCGATCAACAAACAACCCACAACTATACATTAAATTCTTGTATAGTTGTATGGATGTAAAGAAAATTGCTGAATTGGATTGGTGCACATTTGTGATTGAGCACTTGAAAGATTCTGTAAGTGTATGGAAGAAGGGAAATTCTTACTTTACAGGTCCTTTACCTTTTCTAATGGTAAGTTTTAAATTCTTACCATTATGTATATATATTATTCTTGTTATGTTGAAAATGTGTGAAAAATATTCTAATTAATTCTTAACATGTACTAAATAGGTATTCTATTTTGATCGTCTACAAAGAGGAGGGTTAGAAAAACCAAGAAAATGTCCACTAATTTCGGTGTGGACAAAGGAAAGGATTCAAGTGAGATATAAGTTTGAAAAAGATCATGGATTTGGATATGGAAAACTCTTGGAAAGAATGGAAACAATTGTGGTATGATATTTGTATATGTTTATGTTTAAACACTACACTTTATGTTGTTGTTTTCTAAATTTTATAATTTATATACTAGAAGGCACCAAAAGGAAAAAAGAAACAACCAAAACAAAAGGAAAAAGAGAAGAGAATGGAAAAATCATCAATAGGTTCTAGTTCTACAACTTCTCGAAATGACATGATGGTATGATTTAGTTTATGTTGTAAATTATATTTTATGCTCCATTTAATCCTTTTCTGTTAAACTATCCATGTTATGTCCTTTATGTTCTAAAATATTTTTGTGTTCTAATGAAGGGCTTTTTGAGCAAATTTGGAGATTTGGCAAAAACACTTGCCTCGAATGTTAAAGAGATGTATGGCATGTTAGAACAAGCAAAAGATCTTTTTGTTGAGGAAGAAACAACAGGAAAAATGCAACATCTCATAGACAACATATGGTGCAAGTACACAACAAAGGTATTATAATTATGTTCTAAAGTATTTTCTGGTTGTGTTCTAAAGTATTTTCAGCTTATGTTCTAAAGTATAATAAATTTATATAAATATTATGCATATTATGTTCTAAATTATAATTTCTTATTTTATAGACATTCGTGAACCAAGAAGAAAAGAAAAGCCCTTCTATACTCAGCCAAGATCAACATGTCTTCGATGAACCGGCATTTATTGAAGAATTGGATATGGTTATGGATAAGGCATGGAAGAAATTCGAGGAAACAAGGTCACCAAAGTCACCGACAGTTGGTAATTTCACATGTACATGCTTAATTTCCAAATTATACTTATGTTCTATATTAGATGCTTATGTTTTAAAGTACTTTTTTATGTTCTAAAACATGCGCTTAAATCACATGCTTATGTTCTAAATTATATGATTATGTTCTAAATTAGTTATGTTCTAAATTAGTTATGTACTAAATTAGTTATGTTCTAATTGTTAAGCAGATTTGAGATCAAAGGAAGAGGAAAAAGATAAGAACAAAGAACAGAGAAATGAAGAGAATAAAGACAAAAACTTGTTGATTCCCTCACCAGTAGTTGGTAATTTCACATTATTTTCAAATTCATTTTTTATGTACTAATATTTACTAGATATGTTCTAATATTACTTCTTATGCTCTAAATTTTTTCTGGTTATGCTCTAAAGTTAATTCTTAATTTTTTATATTCTAACTATTTCTAGGTTGTCTCCTAATTGTATATATTTCTTATGTTCTAAAGTTACTTTTTATTTTCTAATTATTTTTTGCTATTTGCTATAATACTTAATTTTTATGGTGTAATTGCTATGAAGATTTAGGATCAAAAGAAGAAGAAAAAGAGCAGTACAGAAAAGAGAGAAACGAGGAGGAAAAAATTGAGAAGAAAGAGAAAAGGAATGAGGAGTCACCAAAATAGGTACTTATGTTCTAAACTATATTCTTATGTTTTAAATTATGTGTTTATGTTCTAAACTACATGCTTATGTTCTAAACTACATGCTTATGTTCTGATTTTATTGTTCTGATTTTAGGGAGCTTTTGTATGCTGATAACATGGGGACAAAGATTACGAGAGATGAGATTCATAGTCTCATAGAAGATAAGCACATGTTGAACAATGTTGTGGATTCTTATGTTTGCCTATTGAATTTTGAAAATAAAAGACGTGGTGTAGACAAGAAGAGTAGATTCTTTTTCAGTACTGAATGCTATGTATGTTTTCGAACTTAAAATTATAACTATGTTCTAAGAGTAGATTCTTTTTGTTTCTCATATAGATTATACTATGCACCTATGTTCTAATTACTTATGTTTTAATTTCTTTTTCTTTTTCAGCTCATACGTTGTACAGAAAAATACTTCAAATCAAATGAAAGGCAAGATGATAGAATGAAGGCTTTGTTTGATAGAATGCAACAAGAAATGACAACGACCGAAGTAACAAGCTTCAAAAGCATTCAATTGGTAATTTGGTATCTTATTATGTTGTACTTTTTTCTTATTATATGTTCTAATTATTGGTTTTGTTTATGTTCTAATTATTTTTATCTATGTTTTAAAGTATCTACTTATGTTCTAAACTACTTATTTATCTTCTAAACTACTTACTTATGTTCTAAACTACATGTTATAAAAATTATATGCTTGTGTTCTAAACTATATGCTTATGTTCTAAAATGCATGCTTATGTTCTAATTTTGCTTATCTATGTTCTAATTCTGTTTATCTATTAGGTTTTCTTCCCGGTCGTTTTACCAGATCACTACTATTTGCTGTGTGTCAACTTTGTGGAAGGAACACTTGATTTGATTGACAACATATTTCTTCCACCAAATATTCCTTTTCACAATAAATATGGAAATTACCATAGATTAATGGTAAGACATCAAAGTTTACATTTTTTTAATTATACTTTTGTTCTAACTTTTGCCTTATATGTTCTACAGTTTTTCTTTATGTTCTAAAGTTTACCTTATATGTTCTAAAGTTTATCCAATTTTTCAGTTGAATGCATTTGCTGATTTCGTTCACTCAATTGACTCAAATATAAAGAGTGACTTTGTATCCTCCTTCAAAACAAGAAACTTGAGTATGTCGTGGAAGAGCAATAAGAACAAACATGATTGTGGAGTGTTCCTGTTGAAGCACATGGAAACATATGAAGGAGAATCTGTAAAACAATGGAATTCGGGACTAGAATTAGACAATGTAAGTTTAAAACATAAGATACATGTTTTAAATTAGTTTCGTTTATGGTTTTGGTGTTATGGTTTTAGTGTTGTGGTTTGGTTTGGTTATTGTTTAGATATATTATGGTTTATTATATTTATTTATACTTATATGCTAAATTATATTCATGTTCTAAATTATATGCTTATGTTCTAAAGTATTTCTGTTTATGTTCTAAAAGTTACTCTTTTTTTTTTTTTGCAGTTTGACCAAATGTTTATGTTTATGTTCTAAAAGTTACTCTTTTTTTTTTTTTTTGCAGTTTGACCAAATGAAAAAATTAAGAGTGGAGTATTGTGGGAAGATAATAACAGCAGAAGTAAATGAAGAACGGAACAAAGTGATTAGGAGATCAAAAAAGTGGTCAAAGGAGAACAAAATGGATATATGATTGTTAAGATCTTAAGTTTATATTTGTAGAGAGATATTTGCAAAGAATATAACAGTAATTTCTTATGTTCTATGTATTTACCTGTTACAAGAAATATATTGTTGAATCATATTAAATGCTAAAATTTTAATATAAAATATATCATATAAACTTATATGCTAAATTATATTCATGTTCTAAATTATATGGGTATGTTCTAAAGTATTTTTGATTATGTTTTAATAATTATATGCTTATAAAGTTAGGATATTAGAATATATTATTATATATTAATTTTGACTTAAAACTTAAAGTGTAGAACATTAGAACATAAGAAAATTAAAAAAAAGTAACAAGAAATGACAACAGCCAAAGTAACAAGATTCCAAAGCATTCAATTGGTAACTTGATTCTAATTATATCTTATTATGTTGTACTTTTTTCTTATTACATGTCCAAATTATTGATTTTGCTAATCTTCTAATTATTTTTATCTATGTTCTAAAGTATTTGCTTATGTTCTAAACTGGCTGCTTCTAATCCATTACTTTTGCTTTATTTTTCCTTTTGAATACAATGCATACACTCTTTAGTGCATATCTAAGAAGGCATATGTAAATCAATGTTAAGAAACTTGAATAAATAAAAGTTGATTAAAGCAAGATTCAACTAAATGCTGTTTAATAAAGGTATCTAAAATGCTTGTACTATCATTACTCGTAGTTCAAATTAACTTAATAAAACAACTTATAATTACGAAAAGGGGGGAAGATGAAAAGACAGGAGATGTTATAAAACATTATAATCAACTTTAATTAACATAAAAATTGATAAGAAAAACACTAGTAGAGATACTCTGAATAATAATTGGACAAAAAAGAAATAAAAATATATTGTTTCTAAAAGTAAATAAATTGAGTTCTTATATTTTAAGAATTACATGAATAATATTTTACGTGCTAGTAAATGAGATATTGTTTCTAAATATATAACATCTCATGCAACTGGATTAATAGTATATTCACCAACCTGTAAAGAAAAAAAAATAAAACAATATTAGAACATAAGCACATAATTTAGCATTAAAAAATGTTATAACATGCCATTTCTATTAGTTTAGAACACATGATATTATATAGAGTAAAAACTTTAGAACATTTAAAGAAACCTTTAAAACATATAAAGAAAATATTTTGAACATAAAGAGAAAAGTTAAAATATAAAGGAAAACTTTAGAACAAAATGAATAACTTTATATTCTAAACATTAGAGCATATTAAATTACACTAAAACAGAAAGAATAAACATTAGAACATAGAGAAAACACTTTAGAACATAGAAAAGTAACTTTAGAACAAAGAGAAAACACTTTAGAACATATTGAATTACTTTAGAACATATATGAATAACTTTATGTTCTAAACTTGCTTAAAACATAATTACTTTAGAACAAAATAAATATAAGAAAATTAAAAATAAAGTTTACTTACAATATCACTTGACTTTTCCAGGGCAATTACGACTATCATGATAACCAAGCTCCCCACATGCTCTACATAATCTCTTCTTCTTTTGACTTTGTTCAATAGACTTTTCTCTGTCACTCTTCATTCTTTTGTCACTATTTGGAACATGAACCTCATTTGGAACATGGACATCATTTGGAACATGGACATCATTTGGAACATTTACCTGATTTGGAACATGAACCTGATTTGGAACATGGACATCATTTGGAACATTGACCTGATTTGGAACATGAACCCCCGTGCCTTTGTTCTTCGAAATTTTAGGAGGTTTGATTAAAACATTAGAAGGTAGACTAGCTCCAATAAGCATTTCAATGTCTTTAACTTTGCTCGAAAGATTGTTGCTTCCATTTGTTTTCTTCTGTTCCAAATCTACCCTCATGGCTCGAAGTTTTTTGACAAGATTACTAAGATCATCTTCATTGTTTTGCACTAAACTCACACAAGCATGAATTTCAGACCACAAATCATTTAATAACATTTTCTTATCTACTGCATTAATACATTCCTCCAACACATTACCCTCTAAATCAAAAATGGGCTTCTTATAAGCCATTGTACACCATCTATTTAGAATGTAGGCCTTGGGAATTTTTTTCTAACATCCTTGCCTTCCACACCCAAATCATATGCCTACAAGGCACACCATCACGTTCAAATTTTTTACAAAAACACTTGGTATCAAAGGTAGTTGGATCAAAAACAACATCAAAAGTCCTCCTTCTAGTTCCTTCCCTCAAATTGAAAATGTAAAGCTCATTGTCCTTCTTCATCTCCTCAACACCACAATTAAAACATCCAATTTCAAGCTCATATTGAAATTCATAGAAAATTGTTGTTGTAAACAATTCAGAAGCATCTTTCTCTAAAGGAATTGGAGTCTTACACTCCGGACGCTTATTCTTCGAATCATTATCCATTTTATTTTGAGTGTGCCTTTGAGCATCCAATGCACATTCAAACCTATAGAAAATAGAAATTAACTTTAAAACATAGAAGATAATTGTAGAACATAGAGTGAATTACATTAAAAAATATAAATATACATGACATGTTTATTATGATCTAAATATTATTAAAACATAAAGAGAAAAAGAAAACATAAAAGAGAATTATAAAATAAATAGTAAAACTATAAAGCATAAAAAGAAAACTTTAGAGCATACAAGGAAAACTTTAGAACATAAAGAGTAACTTTAGAACATATATAGACAATTACTTATTACCTCATGTAGAACTCAATCAAAGTGAGATGGGGATTTGTGAACATAGTGAAAAAATTATTTTCACTTTCTGATCTAGATGTGGTCCTCATAATGCCACCCAAAAATAAATCTCTGAAATACGCTGGAATCCACATATCACGTATGTTGTACATGTATGCCAACCATTCATGATCGTTCAAATGGAATTCTGAAATAACTTTGTTCCACTTTTCTTCAAATTCTGCCGGCTCAATCTCTAAATGCCAAACACATGAACACAGTTTTTTCAAGAAATCAGTGTCTTGGGCAATCGCCCGACCTACTTTTTCAGGCACCTTTTTCATAATATGCCACATACAAAACCTATGTTCTGTAGTTTGAAAAACATTACGAACAACAACTTTCATTGCAGGGTCTTGATCGGTAATCAAACACACAGGCTCATTATTTCCCATTGCTTTAAGAAAAGTTTTGAAAACCCATTCAAAAGATGATATATCCTCATGAGCTACAAAAGTAGCCGCAAAAGTAACACATTTTTTATGATGATCAACTCCAGTAAATGGACCAAAGATCATATTATATCTGTAACATACACAAATTATTTATGCAGAAAATGTTACAAAATAGAGGTAAACTTTAGAACATAGAGGTAAATTTATATTTAAAACATCACCTGTTTGTTTTGAATGTGGTATCAAAAGAAACCATATCACCAAAAAGTGCATAATTTTTTCGACAGATTGGATCAGCCCATAAAGCTCTACAAAGTCTATCTTCTTCATCAACATCATAGGAAAAAAAAAAATGCACTCCAGAGCAATTTCTTATTTTGAAAATTATCCACAAACATTTGGGCATCTGATCCATCAATAAAAGCCTTCAAATCTCTATAAAAATTTTTGAAATCTTGTTTAGATGCACCAACATTATCATGTGATCCAGCTAATTCTTTCATCATAGTATAAGACCTCACAGGACCAACATTTACCTGTTAGAAAAAAAAATATTACTAAGATTAAGAATTAACTTTAGAACATAGTAAATCAAAACAAAAAAAAACATTATTTAGTACATAAAAATAAATCACCTTTGAATTATCAACAATCAACTTTTTATGCATAATATGCATTTTTCTATTATCCTTCTGAAATTTTGCACAACTTGGAGTATATAAAGGATGATTATGTTCTTCTTTGAAATGAGTTACAACATACTTTCCAGCATCATATCTCATACATATGTGAGCATTGCATCCTACACGAGTGACTAAACGTTTCCTAGTAATACGAACTTTTCCTTCTTCATAAACTGTTTGTTGAGCAATAGGTTTTCTTATTGCCCTAAAACCTTCCTTATTGCAAACTCCATATTGAAAAGCAATTATATCTTTGTTATTCTTCTTCCTTTTAGTAGTAGATTTCCTAGAAGTAAACCCAGCGGCATTTGCATATGCTTTATAAAAACTAAGACCCTCTTCAGGATCTTTAAATATCATCCCCAAACTGGGTTTTAACTCCTCGGGAACACTTGGAATCCATTCCTTAGTGGTACCACCAGGGCTAAATGATCCAACAACCTCTAGAGTACGATAAATATCACCAACTGCATTAGAACATGAAAGTAAACATTAGAACATAAAAATAAACTTTATAATATAAAGAGAAAGATACATAAAAAACTTTAGAACATACAGAGAAAACTTTAGAACATCAAAGATAAACTTTAGAACATCAAGGATAAACTTTAGAACATATAAAATCAGGGACATACTTATAACATAGTGAATTACTTTATAACATACATAATAAAATTTACAATAAAGTGAAAAAATTAAACTAGAAGGTTAACTTTAGAACATACAATGAAAGTAAATATTAGAACATAAAAAGTAAAATTTAAAATTAGAAGGTAAACTTTAGAACATAGAATGAAAGTTTTAGAATATAAAGAGAGAGATATATAGAAAACTTTAGAACATACAGAGAAAACTTCAGAACATTACAGATAAATGTTAGAACATAGTAAAGAAACTTTAGAACATGTAAGTAAATTGAAATTAAAACATTGAAAACAATAAAATTACCTGAATGAGTAACACAGGAAGAAGGATAATTAGGTTGCACACCATCTAAATCCATCAATATGCATAAACCTATTTTGAAAAACACAAATTGTAGCAAAAAAGCAACCAGAAATTAAAATCCATTAAAAATCAAAAATCTGGAAAACAAAATAGGATAAAATCGAAAACGATGTTGAAAAACTCAAGCAAAGGAAAAAAACAGAAAAATCTGGAAATAAAAAATCTGGAAATAAGCAAAGGAAATAAAATCTAGAAATAAAATTTGGAAAAATCTGGAAATTGAAGAAGAAAAAGAAAACTAGAAAACGAAATTGATGAAATTAATGAAAAAACTCAAACAATGCTCTACCCGTTGAGCTAGTAGGCTAATGTATATAAAACACTTGAACTAGAGGAAAAACTACTAACAACTATATGAGATAATCACAAAAGTAATTTTTTTTTGTTTAATCATATCCTTTTGCACTTCTAAACACTATCTTTAGCATCGTTTATTGTAATTTGATGATCGATTACTTGCATTAAGGTGGGTTCATTATATTGGCTATATAATCAATCTATCATTAGTAGTCCTTTAAAGCAAAAGTTATCCCAAGTTAAGACTAGTGCTAATTAAACAAGCTTTGACAAACATGCTAAGATTGTCTACTTTAGAACACAATGAATTACTTTAGAACATAAAGAGTAAACTTAATATATGCTAAATAAAAGTTTAGAACATGCTAAGATAGTTAAATAATAGTTTAGAATATAATGAATTACTTTAGAACACAGTGAATTACTTTAGAACACAAAGAGTAAACTTTATAACATAGATGGAAAATTTTAGAACATAGAAGGAAAACTTTAGAACATCTTGAATTATTTTAGAACATAATGAATTACTTTATGTTCTAAATTTCCTTATAACATAGTGAATTATGTTCTAAATTTGATTTGCTTAGAACGTAGTAAATTACTTTATGTTCTAAATTTGTTTAGAACATAGCTATGTTCTAAATTTGCTTTTGCTTAGAACATAGTGAACTATATAAAATCTAGAAATAATAAAATTAAAAAAAAAAAAAAAAAAAAAAAAAAAAGGAAAAGCAAAAACCACCACCACCCTTTTCCTCTTCCCAGCCACCAAATTCGCCGCCGTCGCTACCCTAGCCGCCACCTAACCTTTCTCTACCCAGCCAACCCTAACCTCGCCGGTGAACAGATCCCCTGTGCCGGGAAATCGCAAAAGAAAACCGAACAAAAAAAATCAAAATAAGAACAAACAATTCGAACAATCAAACAATCGAATTGATAAATAATCGAGCAAAATAAATATACATCGAATAGAAAATCGCCAAAAACAAAATCGAATAGAAAATTCGCAAAAAATCGCAAAAATATTGACGAAAACATGAATTAATCAGTAAAAATCGAACATAAATCGCAGCAAAAATTGAGAAATAAACGCATCAAAATCGCAGCATACAAATCGCAAAAATCAGGGAAAGATTTGAGAAAAAATCGCATAAAAACGCAACAAAATCACATCAAATTGCAGCAAAAAATCGCATAAAAATCGCATAAAATTCGTAGTAAAATCGCAGCAAAATATTCGCTAAACAATATTGAGAACAATTACATAGAAAATGCTCAAAATAATCGCATGAAATTAATCGCATCAAAATTGCATGAAAAATCATTAAATTTAAAACAAATCTGATTATAAAATTAATAAACTTACAATAATTAATCCAAAATCTGTGAAAATATCGTGATGAATTTGATGAACTTTCGCCAATCTGTTGAACTGAGGAGAGGGAGAAAGCTGAGAATTTTAGAGAGAGAAAGCTGAGAGTTGAGAAACATAAAATAACTAGATGAAGGAAGAGGAAAAAGAATTTGAATAAACTCCTTCAAATTACAAAAATGCCATTACTAATCATTCATTTTGAGCGGTCAGATCAAGCTAATTCCACGGTCCAGATTAGTTCTTATATATAATGGGTTCTTATATAGAGGAGGGTTCTTATATGAGCCTTCCTCTATATATATATATATATATATATATATATATATATATATATATATATATATATATATATTTGACGGTATGTTTTAACTATATATTTAAAATTGGATCATTGGTCTTATTTTGGATTGTGGTGCGGAAATTATGTTCCCTTATCTACAAATACTACAAAACGTTACATACAACATAACTATATTATTTTTTAAGAAAATCTCTATTAAGATCGAACTAGGTACTATGTTTAAATACAACCCGGTAATATGTTATGTATTATGCTGTATACAACCGTACTCCGGAATTTGCATGTATTATATATCAGTCCTCTCCTAAAACATGTACAAGTAAAATACTATAGCATTAATGTAAATTAAATTAAAGAAGGGAAAAAGTCAAGTTCTTTTGGTATATGGAATTGCTTATGGTTTACTTCAATGTTGATACTAATACATGAAAAAGAGATGTAAAGATACATATAGTTGACACTTGGGAAGAAACAAAGTTAACCACCCACCATGTGTAACATGGATCTCGAAGTTATTAGCTTGTGAACCAAGTTCAGATCACAGCCTTTTTTTTTTCTTCTTTGTTTAGTTTCTTCCTTATTCAATACTTCATCAAATTTCAATGTTGAGAGTATGATCAATCTAATATATAACATGTTGCCTAAGTAAAGTTACAACTTATCCCTATATCATGTAAATAATGTTGTTATGATATGAGATGTATCTATATATTGATTGATCATGTATATAGAAACAAAAATTATATCTATGAGTTGGCCTTTGAGATTATTGTCTCATTTACTATATGAAGCACAAATCTTCTCTTAGCGAGCAATCAATGTCCTTAGATGGAGTTTAGCAAACACTTACATAAACACAAAATATAACAAGTGATGATAAACTGACCACGTACTATTTTACCAGATGATCAATTCACAAAGTTGTCACATATTTGTCACATCTCATTACAAAAAAAAATCAATATAGCATCAACTAAAATTTATTGCTATTCACCAAACCGTTGCCAACTCTATTTAGCAACGGGTTGGAAACAAAAATTTGTTGTTGCTAAAAGCCTTGTTGCCAAGGGATTTTGGAAACCAGTTGCAAAGCAATTTTGTTGCAATATTGCATCAATTTAAATATAGTTTCCATGATTGTTGTTGTTTTTGGTGCATTCGTTGCCAACTTTGGCAACAGATTACCATTGGTTGTTGCTAAAATTAGCAACAAATTATTAATGTTAGTTCCTAAAATAGCAACAAATTATTAATGTTGGTTCCTAAAAATAGCAACAAATTATTAAAGTTGGTTCATAAAAATAGCTACAAATCATTAATATTTGTTGCTATCAACACTACGAGACAAAAACTCAATCCCTTATTAGCAATTCGGTTCAACCCGATCTCGACCTTTACCAATCTGAAATCTCACTCAGGTTAGGTCAACTCGGCTCGACTTTGCATGTAAGGCTCTTTGAATCCCTAGTCTCAAGAATCGCATTTGATAGGAGTCGAACTTGCGACCTCAAAGTCAGATGGTGAATCTCTTACCAACTATACCAAGTACTATTTGTTTACTTCTATGCATATAATTTATAATAAGTGAACAAAATATTAGAGACAAAATTGAAAAATTTGTCTCCAAATTAGGGACAAAATCAAAAATCCGTCTCTAAATTAGAGACGAAATTGAAATCCGTCTCTATTTGATAGCATTTTAGCAACAAATAATTTTATACATTACAGCAAAAAGTGGCTTACATATAAATTAACAACAATATGTAACACAACTCGTTTCCAATGGCAACAAACAAAATAATGCGTTATCAATTAGCAACAATAATTTAGAAAACTTGTTTTTAATGGAAACAATTCAAAAATTCATTGTATTTGTTTGTTTCTAAATCAATACAAATAAAATATTTGTTGTCATAGTTTGTTACTATTTGGCAACAAGAGAAAAATATGATGCCGTCTAGTAACAACTAGTAAGACAATTTGTTTTAAAAAGCAACAAATCAAAAATATGTAGCCATTGTTTATTAAAAACTAAAGCATAAAATGTCGCTTTTAATTAGACAATGAAAAAATTTAGATTTGTTGCTATTTAGCAACATTTTAAAAATCTGTTGTCAATCTTAGTTGCTAAAAAGCTTTTATTTTTGTAGTGTCTTGTAGCATCCAAAAACCGCACACCTTACTACCATCAATCCTTACATATAATTACATACAATCGATTCTACATTATAAGTATAAAGTTAATTGTTACATGATGACCTTAATGTTCTTCCTCCTACAATTTTGAGTTGTTAAACATATAATATTCTGAAAATTACATGACAACAAGTAAATTATAATGGTTGAATAAGATCCTTAAACCAATTGATAGATTCTTTGCACCATTTTTTTCTCTTCTTTATTAATGTACCACGTATTCATTCACAAGACACAAACCATGCCTCCCCACCCATACTCAAAAAAACCAAGAAATCTTTTATTTTTTATTTATTATAAGATCGAGTATATATTATGGGAATATTTTTGATAAATATTTTCAATCTTTTTTCATCTATATTCATTAATTTTTGGTTGGTTGGTGAAACAAGTGTACGAAAAATAAATCGGCAGACAAAACAATGGTTCAACACGCGTTCATGCACATAAACCAGTCAAATCCTTAAGCAGTGTATTTAGTAGTTGAAATATGTTTTTCATAATCATACTTTTATACATCTTTTTAAATATAATTATTTCATTATTTGCATTATCTTCAATCCAAATTAAACCTTATGTTTCATGCGAATCTTAAATAATATATTACTGTAATAATTATTCCACGGGAAGGTCACAAGATAGCTTACCATTTCTTCTAAGCCACTAGGATACCCCACAAAAGGACAAAAAATTAAAAATAAAAATAAAATTAATTTAATTTATTTTAAAAAGTGATTAAAATAAAGTGATTTGATCCTTTGATGTTGCTTCCCATCTACACCAACTTTTTGTAAAAAAATTAAAAACAAAAAATAAAAAAATGAAGGGAGAAAAAAAAATATTTGATGAGAGAAAATGATTAAGGGGGGTGTTCGTGTGGTGTTTGGTAGGACAAAGAATTTATTTTTAGTAAAATTAATTAATGTCCAATATCCAATCAAATCTTTGAATATTAAATACATGCATACCACAAAGATATGAAATGAATTTTTAAAAATATATTTTAAAATGATTTAGTTTTAATATTACAAAAAGGTATGAAATTGATATATTAAATAGTTTATTTCTATAATTTAATTAATATTATTACACTAATATGAAAATATGGCCCCCCTAAATACAAGTCAAAATGTTTATTTGTATGGTGGTTAGTATGTCTTCAATTGTGTATTTTTATGCATCTTTCTTTCTTCTCACCTTCTAATCTATTTCCTCCTTCCTCCAATTAAACCTCCATTTATTTCCACTAATCATGATTAACCCAACACTTTAATCATTTTTCTTTTTTTTTTTCCCTAGACATATAAATACACCAAAATAGTACCCTTACTTCTAGGACACTCACTAACAAGCTAATACAAAGTATAACTTACACAAGACTTATAATATAACTAGCAATATATTGCCTATTTCCTTCATTTTATTTCTTCATTTCTTTGTTTGAACAAGATGGGATTTTTTTCCTTAGGGTGTTTTGGGTGTAAACCGGGCTCGAACGACGACCGTGTTACACCGGAGAAGGTGTCGGTACACGATGAGGCGGTGTCGGTAGGGGTGGTGAAGAGGTATAGTTGGGTTGAAATAGAGAATATGACCATGAATTTTAAGGAAGTGATTGGTGTAGGAGGGTATAGCACAGTTTACCTTGCTAAATTCCCTGATTCTTCCTTAGGTGCTGTCAAGATTTACAATAGCAGTGAAAGACTTAACCAAGTTTTCAAGAGTGAATTAGAGATCTCTCAAAAACTTCATCATTCCAATATTGTCAAACTCCTTGGTTATTGTGATGAAAGAGGTATGTACTATGTAACAAGCAATGAATCCTTCTCAACAAAATTTTAAATTGATCAATTTTCGAGTTTGAGTCGGGTTAATGATTTTTGTGTACATCATTGCTAATGATTTTTTTTTGTTTGTTTGTTTGTTAAACAGATGAAGGAGTGTTAGTTTTTGAGTACATACCTAAAGGGAACCTACAAGAGGAGCTACACGAGCGCAATCAAATCCCGTCTACATCACCACATAAGGGAGGATATGGTTTAAAATCACAACAACTCACTTGGAAACAGAGGATTTCAATAGGATATCAATTAGCACAAGCATTGGAATACCTTCATGAGAGTGGTGACCTCCATATAGTTCATGGGGACATAAAGTCCTCGAACGTGCTCTTAGACGAATGTTTCAACTGTAAGCTCTGTGACTTCGGGTTTTCGAAGATGGGTTTCTCATCAATGATCAAGCCACCCTCATCATCGCGCATTGCTATGATGGGTTCACCAGGGTACATAGACCCACACTACCTTATGACAGGGATCGCGTCTAAGAAGAATGATGTATACAGCTTCGGAGTCATACTGTTAGAGCTTATTACAGGATTTGAGGCCTTTATTACCTCAGGAGGTGATCAGCAAGTGCTTCTGACATCGATTGTTCGAACAAAGGATACATTCGATGCTGAAAAGGTGTCGAAAATGGCCGATCCAAGAATGGTTAGAGGGGAAGGGTTTGACAGAGAAGAGGTTAAGGCTATGGCATTCATTGCAATGGACTGTCTGCATCATTTGCCTAGTTTAAGGCCTTCTGCATCAGAAATCTGCAAGAGTTTCAGAGAAAAACTCTGTTCTGGTGAGAAACTGTAGAAGTATAAAAATACAGTTGATTTTTCATAGAGTTAGGAATAATAATGTCATGCAATCTTGTATAAAGTATAAAAAGATGCAATCTCACAAGAGATTTTAGATTAGAGGTGCTTTCTAGGAGTACAGAAAAACAGCAGGAAAAGAAAAAATCTGATCTGATGCAGATTGGAAAAGGGAAAAATGCAGTTTGTTTGCATTTTTGATTGGTTTGATTTTGTGAATTGATTGTGAAAAGTTTTGATTTTTTGCTTACTTCAGATTCTTCTTTTGATCGTTAAATGTGTATTGTATTTTGTCATAATATTGTTTACAAATAATTGGTACCAAAAAAAATCTTCTATCCCACCTTTCGCGTTATACAATTAGGCCAATCAATGTCATTGTTCATGCTACTAATGTAACTTACCACTTTGTTTTAGTTTTTCCCATAAAAGTGTTACAATTTAAGCAACCAAAACAAGTTACATATGTAGGACAATACAAATTTTAGTACATAACAAGTGAAATAGGCAATGTTTAATTGTCTCAACCCTCAACCTCGTGAAATCACAGGATTATTAGAATGGTTTCTCACAAAGGAAAAAAAAATATAGTGACGACAGTAGTTATACAATTCTAATTATTAAACGGATGGAGTACTCATCACACCAATAAATTGTGGTTGGGACTTTAGGAGGATTTTGTTAGGGTGTGCAATGTGAAAGTTTGAAAGAAGATTATTCCAAAACGACAATAAGCATCAGTTTGAACGAGTAATACTTACAGCTAAGATGATACAAGACTTTGTTAGACAGTTATATATAAAGACTGCCCAAAGTCTCCCAGATTAGAGTATTAGAATTAGAGTAATTAGACTAATCGTCTAATAATCATAAGGTTATTAACAATTGATCAGATAATACGTACTATTTAATTTGTAATTATTAATATGGATACAACAAAGATATTTTCATGACTTAGTAATTTCAAGAGAAAATAATGATTAAAATTCGACCTAAAATTCGGCATACTGATTATTTGATTAATTAGCATCAATTAAGAATGAAAAGTTCTTCATGGACAAGACTTTTCACCATCTTTTAAGTACAAAATGTTCTCATAAAAGAAAGAAATTATTGGTAGCTAAGACAAATTATTCCTAATTCCCCTAATTTCAACTGTGGATTGACCAAATTAGCCAAAAGAGATTGAAATCATCAGGACATTTTCTCAGTGATTAATTTATTAATTTAGCTTAAGGCTTCAAATTTGTCAAAGTGCATGGGCTTGCTTGACAGCTGTAAGTTTAATTTTAAAGACTATTCTTCGTGGGATAGGAATTACTTGTCGCCCTATAATTATACAACACCTAACTTTCCAAGTAAATTGGAATGATAAACATTTAAATGATGCAGGCATTGATAATAATTATTGTACATCCGATGTAAAAACAATTGCCCTAAAACGATTCAATCCTAACATATAATACCTCCGGTTCTTATTACCGCGACAAAGGGGTATTATTTGTGAGACATAAAATATTCTTTTGTTGCAAGTAATTTGAACCGGAGGTAGTATAAAGAATAAAAGTAACAATATTACCCTTTATTGGTTCGGACTCATACACACTCTGGTCATGAGCCTCGAAGATAAAAGAACAGGAGAGTTGGATCACAATTGCCATTCTCACTAATCAGTAATACATTGCCGGATGTAAAGAGTTTGAATCTTAAACATAAAGTGTCAAACGCGGATCTGGGCCGCACCCGCAAACTAAGAGAGAGAGTCTACTTCACAAGTCCAAGGAGGTTTCATCCCAAAACTATATGGCAATAGGAGGAGTAGCCCCTTAGCCTTATAAAGTGTTTAACTCTCTCTTCTTCAACCAATGTGGGACACTTATATGTGGTGACACTTGAGAGGTTTATTCTTCAACATAAAGGTAGTTAAATACAAGCGGAAATAAAACTAGAACTACTGAACTTTGATTTTAAAAGCACCAAGTTAGGGCAGAGGCTCAATTGTACAAAGCTTTACTCTCGCGACTGAGACTTTCTGTTGAATCCTATAACTTTCTTAATACAGCAGAGAGGGGCTTCCGAAACAACTGAAAGCATCTAATCCTTGCAATGAGAATTAGACCATGACTAATTTTGCCTCTTTTTGCAAAGGGAAAAAAAAAACAGTAATCCAAATTCCAAAGGATCCAATTCTGTATTTTGCTGATACTAGAAATTTCCTACTTGGAAGCCTTTTGCACGGGCAAAAAGAGCCTTCTCCGAGCAACAATGGTAAGAAGTACTCCTCGGGACAATAGAAACCATTACAATAGCTTCTCCATGCAAGAGGGGGGGGGGGAGGAGTGAAATATCAAAGACGATAAATCACAAGGCAAGGCAGTACGCCTGAGTAAAAGAGTCATGAATTTAAATTTAAAACTAGATAAAAGCTATAACACTGATTTAGAATAACCAATTGCCATTGCTCTGATCATCACTACTAAAACAAGATGATATACAGCAACCAGTCACGATCAGAAGTTAAATGCAAGGCAAAAGCACAAGTGGAGATAAAGCTACAACATACACATTACCTGAAAGCTGTAAAGACCATTATATTCTCAAAATCCAACTTTAATTTCTAGAATATGGTTAGCCTTTCCTTCATAGCAGCTTGCTATGGAACCAAGGACTGAGTGTTATCATGAACTTCTGTTTCAAGATCAGGAAGGTTAGAACTAACTGAAAATTTCAGCCATCTTTTTTTCTCTACATACTTGAGAGCAGGATGCATCACCAGCCCAATCGCCACAGCAATGAGGCTCACAACCATGACTTTAACAGATGCAAGAGCAAGAACCACACATATCAATATGGTTGGAGGAATACATATCAGTATAGCTCCAGCTGTTCCAAAGGGAATCTTGTAAGGTCGAGCAACAGTTGGTTGTTTTATGCGCAGCACCACAAATGCTATAAATTCCAATATCATTCCAAAGCAGTACAAGAAATTTTCAGCAGCAACTATCTCCTCAAAGCTCAACCAAGATAGCAAAATTACACCCGATGCTGAGAACAGTATGCCAAGTAAAGGGGTCCCATAACGAGATCTCTTTGCGAATATCTCAGGAAGCATGCCTCGCTCTGCCATCCCCAAAAGCTGGAATGAATCACTGCTCATTTCAGCAACAAACATCCCCATGTTAGACATTGCAGCAGCGCCCTGGATCCACCAACATAACCATGTACCACCAATAATTTTGGCAATGTCAGCAAAATAACCATCAGACCACTGACTCTGGTCAAGAGGAATCGCCCCAGTGCCAGCTAAGAGAGGGAAGAAATAGGCAGCCACAACAAAGATTAGGGCATAAGACAAAGCCTTTGGAAGAGTCTTCCTTGGGTTCTCCACCTCACCAGCAAGTGTACTTACTGAATCCCAATAATTCAGATTCCAGAAGAGAGTGTTCAAATACAAACCCCAGTTGACATTATGAAGATCAACTACTAGCCATCTCGAAGGCTCCACTCTTGGGATCGATAATAATCCCATGACAATAAAAGGAAGAAGGGACACCACACCCAAAAGAACAGCAACCCACCCAACAATAGTCATACCCCTATAGTTCAAGAAAGTGAGGGCACTAGTCAAAACGAGCACTGCAATCGTCCTTGGATAGCCATGACCAATTATAGGAACTACTGCCTTGAAGTAGTCAAGAAACAAAACGGGATATAATGCATTATCAATAACACCACTAAGCCACTTCATCCAACCTTGCTGAAAACCCCAGAAGTCCCCTAAAGCAGCTGAAACCCAAACCACATAACCCCCATTCTCAGGGAACATCGTTCCCATTTCCGCCGTTATTAAAGCCTCAGGCACACTCCATATAAAGGGAAAAACTAAGAATCCTGCTAGAGCTAACAAAGGTCCTGCTGCCCCAACACTATCCTCCACCCCAAACGGACCGCCCGAAACCTCATAGAAGATGAGGAAAATAAGAGGCAGTAACGAAATCTTTCGAGATTTCTCAGCCCTAGGTGAAGGTAGGTCTTCATCAATACCAGAATATCTTACTGCATCATGTGCCCCCATCTCAATGGATGTTTGCCTATTGCTACCTGTATGCCTAAGTTTCTGCACATTCAATAACAAAAATTCCAAAAAATTTACCAATGGGTTTCAATCAATATTCACAGAAACTACAAAAATTATAATATGCTTGCTCCCAATTGAAGGAAATTAAAGAAAAATTAGTTCATGCCTACTAAATAAGCTATTGAATGCAATTGAAATCAAAGCAATACAGTTAATTTCTCAAAAAAGAAACAAAATCAATCAATTCAATCACCAAAATTTACAACATATTTAAACTAATTCACACAAAACCAGATACAGAAATTCATCCCATTGCGAAAAAAATCGGCAAAACCCAACAATTTTCCGATTGAAAACATCAAATTGAGCTAGTAACACCCATAAATAAGCCAAATTTACAACATTAACAAAGACCCAGATAAAGAAATTCACCTAATTTCAACAATCAGGACCCAAATTTACATCAAACCCAGTATTCCAGCAGATTGTAAAGATGATTGAATCAAATAAAGGAACTTTAAAGAGAATAAAAGGTTAAAGAAACGAACCATGAGAAAGAAAAATTGATCCCATCTGAAAATACTTATAAATTTGGTGACGTAAAACCCCACTTCATCGATGACTATGTGTTTCGATGATCCACGTTTTACAGGACAAAATTATAAATGGTAGTGAGAGAAAGAAGAGAGAGAAAGAGAAGGAGAAGACGAATTAAGTTGCAAGTATCGACGCATTAATCCCACGAGATGAGAGTAGTGAAGAAATGTTTTCTTGTTCTTGTCACTTTCTTCATTTTCTACGTTCAAGTTTTAAACTTCATTTCTTCTGCTTCAAATTTTGATGGATTTTTTTTTCCTGTACATCGTACTTTCTTTTTATGGTAATTGTGATTTGTGACTATCTAGGCTTTGTTTGGCAATCGATGGTTTTTAGTAGACCTGGTTAACTTGGCTCCTTTCCGCTAATTTGGTAAGGAAGTCTAACTTGCAAATTAAACGTTGCTTATGTAATTAAAACGATGACTTTATTTAATCACTTGAATATTTGTGACATTTTCGTAATAAAAAATGGGGCCCGTAATTAATGAAAATTTGTTGATTTATTTATAAATTTGTGATTTCTTTATCATAAATTTATTGAAGTAAATTAAGGTAAAATGACAATTATATCCTTATTTAAATTAGAATCTTACCATTACGAAAGTCAATGTCTCATTTTGAATAATCAAACAACTTTAACAAAACAATCAACTAATACAATCAGCTGATCAAAAATCAGCTAACACAATCAAGTTCAACTTTTCAGCAAACGTCCAAACACATCATAAGTTATTTAAGAAATAAACTTTTTTAGTAAGATACTACATTTAACTTCTAAAATTTTATTTTAGTAATTGTAACTTTATATGAATTTAAAAAAAAAATCGAGAGGGGAGGGGGTTTGCCACTCCTATTCCATGGCATTAAGTTTCAAAAATCAATTCTTTTTGTATGGTTGAAAGTATTAATCTAAAATGATTGTCCATGACTTATGGAGTAGAATAAGTATGGGAAAACTCTTCCGTGGGTTCGTGCGAGGTTTTCATGTATATTCTCCTACATCGGTTGTCTTTAAATCTCGATTAATAAAGCACTAATGTTTCATTTTAAATAGGCAAATGATCAAAGAAATTACCTTTGAAAACTTATTGTATTTTTTATTAAAAATAAATAAAAATAAATAAAAAATTCTCCCTTGTATCATTAAAAAAGGATCATCTCATTTGTAAAAGCATGAGTAGGGTTGGGGCTGCGCATGCGTAATAAGACCAAAAAGGGCCCAATAGAAGCACTTAATGGTTTTATGGTCCATTTAATGTTTCACAAAGTTGCAGCCTTAATTCTTTCTCGAAACTTTTGTGGGCCTTTATTGGGCCACTTGTACAACACTAAACACTTACCAACCCGCAAATCTTGGACCAATATTATTATTTCACAATTTGTTTCTGTTTCCTATTTTTTATAATTTTGAAATATTTTATATGAAATATTTCACAAATAATAGTCCAAAGTTTCAAAAAACATAAAATGAAGGTATAGGTAGTAGTACTTTTTAGATTTAGCTCCTATTATCTTTTCCATATAGATCTAGATGATAATTTAATTTTAAGGATTGAGTATTAATCCAAGATCATGCAATAATTACTCATGTCTTTCAGCCTCCCTAACTTAATCTAAGATTTCCCGTAAAGTAAAAAAAAAATCTAAGATTTGAAGCTTGATGCCTTTTGTAGTAACATCTAGTCATATATATCTTTTTCATATTGCTCTCGGAGATTACGAAGGGTTTCTGTAAGGGTTTTAAGTCACCTTATCTGACTACTTATTAATTATTCACTGAATAAAAAAGGATTTATATGCTTAAGGTGTACATTTCCTTAATTTTTTTTTTCGTAATATTTGTTTATTCAAGAAATGAATGAGAAAGTCGGGATTTTGTATCACTTTTCAAGTGTCAAAAGAAGGCTAAAATGATATGGTATGATTAAAGAATAAATAGCATCATGCGAAAAATAGATGCATTTGTTTTTCTTCTTTTTGGTCCCACTACATTCTTCATAATGATATCCCACCCACTATAATGAAATATTTTGCAAAAAGAAGAATTCTCGTGTGTTATATAAGTTGAATTTCATGTAAAATTCACAATAAAAAAGTGATAAAAGAGAACCCATGCTAAGCTAAATATCAAATCAAAAAGCATGATTTTGCTAAAAGATGTTCCAATTTTTCTCCACAGTATAATTACTAATTGAGATTATGTTAATATAAACTACTAATAAAAAATTTCATTATGACGGTTTTATATACTACAAGCGTGCGTTTTGTGGGCTCCTTATAGAAAATAATAAATTAATCGAATTATTTCTTCTAAACTGTTACATTCCTTTCCCATACTACTAGTAAGGAAGAAAAACAAACCAACAAACCAATACTATTAACAACAAATCTTGCATGAAATGCAAATGAAACCTTGCAAAAAGTGCACATATTTTGGCCAATACGTGAATTAATTGACACCATTACACTGGCACACAACAAACACGATACACTAGTAGTACATCCAAAACACGTTATAATTAGTAGCTGTTTCGTGTATGGGTTGTTAACGACGTACATTTGAAACTATAGAAGAACATTGATTGTTAGATATAGAATACATTTTGTTTGAGAGAAATCCTCGATCATATATATATTGCTATAAGATTTGAACAAATTCTCAATTAATTTTGTGTTGCTCAATCTATTAAAAATGTTTCTCAAATTTTCTAAATGATTATTATAAACATAAATTACAATAAATGTACAAGTGTATAACCTATATATTACTATGCACACAAATCTTCATTTAATATAAACTGAAAAAATGACAAAATAATCAAAGTATCTAGTTATTATAATGTGACAAATGACAAATGGTTATTATATGATACGACGTATGTGACAAATGACACTAGTTTAAACAGTAATGTAAGAATGTTGTTATGTAAGTACTTTCCTTCATATTATGATTATACAAACTTCTAATGCAATTTAAAGCAAAATAACTCAAACAATAACAATGTAATAGAAATACAAAGAAAATTAAAGGAAAAAATATTTTAGCATCATAAATTCAGTAATAAAAATCATCATAATAAATTTGAAAATTTGATGAAAGTATTATTCATAAAGAGAAAGAATGTAGTAAGAAACGTACAAGAGCTAACCTCATCAACAAGGACGTGGTTGGGATTAGTCGAAGGTGTAATAACAACACTTGCTACTACTTTCACTTCTTGTCGTTGATCACTTGTTTCTTTGTTACACGCTACTTCTGTAGGACCTTGCATCTTATGTTCGTGATCACACAATCTAACTATGCAAAGCTATGAACAAACCAAAATAATGTCACGACATGAGATCAAATCTAGCTTATCTAGTCACATGATCAATGATCATACAAAGTAAAATATTACAAAGTGACTTGACTAAAAAAATAATTTATAAAATTCTAAAATGATGATAATAAGGAGAATGAACTTACTGAACTAAAGCCTCTCACTAGTCAACCCGCTCCAGAATTGAACCCTAAAGGAGCGGAGGTTAGATGATCCTAAGACGGGAAGAAGGGACTATGATCAACGAATGAAACTTGCAAATTTTGATACATAAGTCGATGATGAATGTGTAGATGTTTAAAATATGGAGTTGAGTTAAAGCAAGGTTAGTGAGAAAAGAGAGAATAAGAAAGAGCGTGTGTTGTGTATGGAAGAGAGAATCCTTATATGAGGGCTAAAAAGATAGTATGAGATGATAAGAGTTGACGTTTTTGACTCATTAAATTAAATAAAGAAAAAGAAATATTTATTTCTATGTACTTGTCATTTTCTTAGTTGTGGGCTTTTGCTTGAGTAGTAGGTGCACGCATGACATAATTTGTAACCAAAAAATAAATGGCAAGAGTTTTATACTTTTCTGTCATGATTTAGGATGACTTATGACAGTAAGGAACGCATGACTAAATCCGTATAAAAATTTTCTTTTGCAAAATTTAAAAAGTGGGTAGAATATATGTCATGATTTACCATGATTTTTTTTTAAAAAAAAAAATGATAGAGAGAGGTAGTAAAGGCTGTCATATAAAATAGTAGACAGAATTTAATCTCATGTCATGGGTATTATCATTTAAATTTTAACCAACTAAATTAATTGACATCCACATAAATTATCAATTTTTCACGAACTAGATACCATATAACTATACAAGTTATATAACAAATAGTACTTTATGTATAAATAAAATATATAATATGAATTTATTTCAAATGGTGCACAAAAAATAATGTGATTTTGAAGGGAGGAGGATGATAAACTATAGATACTCTATGTAACAACTTATTTTTGTCTTAATAGAAACATCCCTAGATTTTTATTTTTAGATTTTAGTATCTTTAGGGCCTGTTCTCATTGACTAAACTAAACTGAATTGAACTGAACTGAACTTATTAGAGATGAACTGAAGTTAACTGAACTGAGCTGAAATGAATATTTTATAAGAAAAGGAAATTAACTGAACTGAACTAGTGAGAACAGGGTCTTATTTTAGTGAATAATTTGATTTGGTTTGTATTGTTACTTTTGTTAGTGGCCAACAAATCATGCATGCCTATCTATATTTTCTACTAGTAACATAAATATATTAAAGAATTCATATGTGGAATAATTCAACTCATGAGATAAGAACATATATATAGTTTGTGTAAATATTGTTGTTATTAATTATTCATAATTAAATATAGACTAATTCTTTGCAATTTTTCCATTCAATTCTAAAAACTATAAGAGAGAAAGTGCATATATAGACCCACCAAATCTCTAATCGATGTATTTAACTCGTTTATTATTAAGCTAACACTTTATTTTCTCTCTAATTATGTATTCCACTATTTATGTTGCAAACTCAGCATGTGTTTTTATTTGCTTAACTTTTGATGAGCTTAAGGATTAAAATGTGCAGGGCACAATCAGTGCTAATATCATAAACTATATTGAATTTCATTATTGTATGTCTTCTACTTCAAGTAACCATATCACATAGTTATATATTGTCTTATACTATGACTGATTAATACTTCATAGAAGATTTTTTTAAAAAAAAAATAAAAATAAATGAAAGGTATATGAAGTTTAATGATCTTTTGACCATTGAAAAGAAGATTTATAAAGAATGTTGGTTTCATACGACCATAAACCATGAGATACTTGTGAAGATTGTAAATAGAAATATTTGGTCATGCCAATTGTTCACACATAAACATAAAAAATTATTGTATCAATGAATTGACTTACGATGTTTAATTACTCAGATAGTCGTATTGATAATACGATGTACTTTTTAGAACATATAATTAACAAATTTACCATATTTAATTACTCATATAGTCGTATATTATAATACGATGTTCTTTTTAGAACATATAATTCACAAACTTTTTATAGATTGATCGCACGTTGTCATAAATTTGATTATCTGATCTGGCCAAAGGATGTATTGTATTTAGGACCTGATTTATTCAGCTTAATTTCAGTTCAGTCCACCTTCTAATTTCCTTCTCTATTAAACAATTCAGTTCAACTCTATTTAGTTCAGTTTAGCTCACTTTAGCTTCAATCAGTTCAGTTCAGCTCTGTAAATTAGAACATGCCCTTATTAACCTAATAGAGGAGAAGAAAGTTCGATTCATGCACTTAATTGTCTCAAGGAGATTTAATAATTCATGATTAATAATCTCACTTAAAAACCTAAAATAAGATTTAAAAAAATATATATGGAAGCACACCAGTATTATACACCTTCAACACAACATAGTAAATGGTGTCATGCATCAACCCAACATCAAATATACAATTGGGCACCACAAATCTCAATTAGGTATACTTTTAAGTCTATTCATCAATATTAAATACATAGAATCTCTTAGAGTTATTATTATAAATTTATAATTATATGGCCACTGGAATCAAAAACTTTAGAAGCAACTGATTCGAAATGTACAGAATTCTGGAGTTTGACCACAATTGCATTACAACTATTTTTTGAACTGCCTATTGCCCATTTAAGGGAATCAATATCATCTCCTTATCTATCTTTGAATATTATTAGGCTTATCTATTGGAATACATTATATTCTCTAAAACAATAATGTTTTAGTTATACTAATGGCTTCTTTCAGACAATTATGTAAATAACTAGCCTAGGTATGTAACATAGAAATTGAAACTCTTGCAAAACCAACCATCTTGCTGCCTTTTTAAGCTACACGATTCTGAGACGGATTAGGATTCCTTTAAATTTACAAGATAATACATTCATGTTTATACAACAATACTAGATTTTTAAAAATAGATAAATAAATAAATAGAATGTTATTTAGACTATTTTTCAAAATATTCATTCATTAAAATAAATATGGACTAAACTTACACCTCCCAGTAACAAAAAAAGCATCACACATGCTGCACCCTAATCAATGAGGTCCACTTTTCGTTTACTAGAACTCGAAAACGTAATGGAAGCTATAGAGTTGACATGGTGGAACTCTCGCAAGACATCAATGTTGAATTTATTGAAATCACACATACACAAACACACTAAGCATCCAGGCCAATAGACAAAGTGCTACCGACGTGTTAAGCACAGCTCGAAAGCACTTGCAAGCAACAACTATGTCATTCATGGCAACTCAAGTGCATTTAAGATTCCAACAACAATATCTGTCTACGCAAACAAAGAAACTACTCGGTCTTTTTAGTATTGCAGTCTCGGCAAAATATCATAAAACACAAAATTGGAGCCAAAATTTAGACAAGATTAAAGATTCCCTAATAATCCAAGCCTGAAGACTCCTTACTTCTTATCTTCCTTCTCGGCCTCAGCCGCCCTCTTCAGTCTAATACCTTGGTGGCGTTTGTTTGTCCTCTCAAGACGAAGCTTAGCATAGGCGTTGAAAGACTTCATGTCTTCTGTAACCTTCACAAGCTCCACTGGTGCCTTCTCACTCTGAATAGGCAAGTACGGGCCTTGAACCTGGGTAGCATTAGCAAGTTCCTCTTGAGTAGAATCACCAGCCTGTAACATAGAAATACAATGAATGAGATGGCTACATCATCAAACGGATACATTTTAAGAGATTAAAAAGACAGAATGATCAATGACATAAAAAATAACATTACCTTGAACTTCCTTGCACTCCTTGGGAAGACAACGAGCTTAGCCTTGTAGGTCTTCAGCCTCTGCACGTTTGTCTGCAGACCTTCAAGTGAACGATTCCTGCGTCGGTGGTCAACTGCAATGCCGATGGTGGGAGCAAGCTTCCTGGGAATACCAGCACCCTATAACAAAAGAAAATCATATTAAGAGAAGTTAGTAGAAAACTCTAATATAGCATGGGGTGTAGTAAGAAGGAACACCAGACCAGTCACATTTTACAACTTAAAAAACAAGTACACCTTCACATACAATTTAAGGAAACAACATGAACGCTTTTGAAAGGTCCTCTTGATTAGCATAAAAAAAAATTCTACCTAGCTTATGTGATGATCCAACCTTGTATAATCACAATATGAAAAATGTTGAGACTTAGATTGCCAACAAATCCAGAGCATAATTCATCATCACAACTATTAAACTCTTCAATTCATGCAAACATTTTAACAGCTAAATATACTCTTTAATTCATGGAAACATTTTAACAAACCAATGTTCAACACCTTCAATTAGAGAACTGCTTAAGCTCTGAAAACACTCCTAAAAAATTGAAATCCCACATAGACTTCAGATATAAGGGAAGCCTACAAATATTACAAAATCCTACAAATATAAACCGGACATGATTATGTTTGCTAATCAGTAACAAACAATAAAGAATGCTAGAAGACACAACTCCAGCATGACTTGGAATATAATCTAAAAACCCATTAATTAAAAAAAGAGCCTAATTCAAAGACTTCAGCACAAAATACAGACATAACAGTCACGTAAAAAGGATTCCTATTCCAAAACTCCTAACAAAAAATGCTTGTGTAAGGAATACATATTCAATATTTTCACCTAGCACCATGTACAAGTACATCAGCTTCCAGTATCAACAAACTATAATACATACAACACTTAGTTCGCATAACATCAACACAAGCATCACTCATACAGAATGACTGTAACAAATATAGTTACCTGCAATTCTTCAAGGGAGAACCCTTTTCCAGCCCTGACTTTCATGTTGTACTTCAAAGTTTGACCATGAACAACTGGGCGAAGAGGTCCAGCAGTTGGTCTTGGGAAGATCTTCACGGCTTTCTTTTGCCTAGCTGTAATTGCATACAAAAACAGTGTTCAGACTTAAACTGATTCAACAAAGAGCCCATTAACTAAAATTATCACTTAGATAGATAGAGTACAATACCAAGACGTCTCCTGGTCTTGCGAGCAGGTTGATTAAACCAAGTCTTGACATAGTTTTGCCAATGTTTCTTGAAATGCCCGTTAGGGATAACATTGTTGTGCCTCACCATGGCTTAGCTGAACAGAGCAACAAAAAACACGGCTTCAATACCACGCTATTCTAAATTATATCATACAAGCAAGAGAAATCAAGTAGCAGTTGAAGACTGAACCCCTCTGAAACCAAAACCTTTAAAAATTTAATCCTGATCTAGGTAAATAAAGCATCTCAAATGTAGATTTCCACTACTTTTAGGAATATCCCTACTCAAATTCTAAGTTGCAAAACCACAGTCATCTCACAACAAACCAATAGCA